CTCTTCCCTGTGTTTTACTTCATGAAGTGGTGGAACCTTCACTTAATTTACTAGCACGTACCTTTTACTTTGGGTGGTAATTTTGTCATTGCTATGCCAGAAACACATACCCTGTTCTTCAGAGGATGGTAATTACCTGCGGCGTCCTGAAGACTCATCAAGTCTCCTTGCTGCATGTTCAGTGTTGATGAATATTGGTGCTACTTATAAATGCATTGATTGAATTTCATTCGGGCAATAGAAAGTTTTTGTTGCTTTGAATAAATTCTGACTTGGTCAACAAATGTGAATTTCTCCATGTTAGTTTTTTTGCATACAAGAATGTTAGTTTCCCTAGTTACCATTGAGCAATTGGTGAGTCGAAAGACATGACGAAGTGTTTCACTGTATTGTAGGTATGAAGATGGGTAGGATTTGTCCTTGACTTTCTGGATTGTTTGACTGTGTAAGTCTCTGTGAGCCTCTGGGATGAAGGGTGAAAGTTATATTTTTAGGTTGTATGGTTGATTCATGGAGAGGGGGAAAGATGAATTTTTAAGGTGGTACTATGTGAGATGTGTGAGTGGGTGTGGCCCTGTCGTAATTAATATAAAACAAGTCATGTCGACCAGAACATGAAGAAGTGCAGTGACCAGTGACTGACTGTGTGGAAGAGCAGAGACTTAAAGCACCGGCATCCAGGAGGACAGGGCCTTGTGCCTGGAGTTCCTGTTGAGAGAAGCTTCCTAAAATTTGTGTGCGAGTTTGACAAGAAGAAACTGGTGGCTTGACTGGAGGGGTAGGGGCTGTCCTTCCATCTCTCCACCTTTCTTCTGCACTAGCCCAGGCCATGGAACTTGGCGTGGCTGACTTAAGAGAAAAAGAACCTGATTTCCTCTTGAATTGAACCCATAAACTTCTGTACTTTTCTTTGGAATCTGTCTTGCTGTCATGTGAACATGTTGATAGCATCACCGAATGTCACAATATTGATCCCCGTGACTACCTGTCTCAGAAACTGTGACTTGAAGTGTCAGAGGCTCTGTGAACTCTTCTGCCTGAACAAGCCCTGATGAAACCTAGTGATGCCAGTGTCAGGGGAATCGGAGGCTGGGAATTACATCTGGGTTCACGGAGCTGTTCTTGACAGATGGATTGAAGGGGGTGGCAGTAGCCATCCGGACGCCTGGCACATTGGCCATTGTTTATATGAAATACATTAAGGAGAGAAGATGATAGGTTGTAACTTTTCTCTCTCCCTTCTGCCTTCATTCTTTACAGCTTTTCCTCTCTTCATTTTCTTCCCCCTTTAACTCGCATTAACTTACTATGAATGACGAATGACAAGGCTTCAGTTTAAAGCTCTCCTTTATATATGAACAACATTGAAAATATCAAATTGTTGATGCCAGCATCACCTTCATTAATGACCAGCAGAAGTTGATTTCTTTTTTTGAAACACATAATAATAAAAGTATAGGCTCACTTTCTGTGGAGGTGATAGGATGCTTAGGAACTTTGCTTGATACCACACAGCTAAGGTTTATGAGCAATTACAGCTTTAGCCTCTTGCTGCCGCCCACAACTGCTACTGACCCAGATCGGGGTCCTGCTGGAGTTAATGCGACTTCCGTGTCTGCAAGAATGAACTAGAGCAAGACTGGACTGAGGGACTGAGAAAGGCCAACAAATTCACTCGGAAACTCTCCTTCATTAGCTGGTTCTGAAACGTGTGCAGAACCTCTGGACATGTAAGGAGCCCCTCCACCGCAGAGCTCCCCTGACTTCACTTATTTTTTTAAAGATTTTATTTACTTATTTTCAGAGAGAGTAAGGGAGGGGGAGAGAGTGAGAGACACTGATGTGAGAGAGAAACATCAGTTGGTTGCCTCTTGCACACCCCCGACCAGGGACCTGGCCCGCAACCCAGGCATGTGCCCTGACTGGCAGTCGAACTGGCGAGGTTTCGGTTCACGGGCCAGGCCGGCGCTCAATCCACTGAGCCACACCAGCCAGGGCTCTCCCCTGACCTAGATGGTTGGTTTTCGAAATGCAGTGATATTTAAGTTACAGAAGGTATCAGTACTTCTCCCAACTCTTGATTTTTAAAAAAAAAATGCACAGACATGCACAACTACATGCTTGGTAGTGTTTTAATCTTCTGGTAAACACAGCAAGGCGTGCAGGGCCTTGCGGCTCTGAGCAGCACTCTGAAATACACCAGAGCCTTCTTTCAAAGACGACTTGAACCCGCTCATATGACCTGACCCATGTCCAATCTACACAGCTCTCTCTTTTTCTTCTTCCTTTTTTCTCCTTCTTTCCCCTTCTTCTCAAGGACTGATTTAAGTGTTCAAGCATTTTGAACCCTTCTGCCCCACTCCCACCCCTCACAAGTTATACAGGCTTTGTTCAGGCCCTGGGGGAGGAACAGTTGTGAGTGCATTGTGACTCACGGCTCCCACTTTCCTGGTTCTGGTTCTGATTGGTCGTCACCTTGCTCTAGCCATATGGCTGCAGAGTACTCGAGCCGCATCCCTTTCTTGTTCTTTCCCCTGCGGTTCCCTTCTGTTGCGCACAGCACCAGGAGTGGGTTCCGGGCTTTGTCTCTTGCTTGTAGTTACCCCCGTTAGGCAGCCCGTAGAGAACACTGTATTTCCTAAGGACGGCTGTAGAGGAGAAAAACACCCTTGCCTTTTGTGCCTGGTATAGTAATTATTTAATTTCCTGTGCTGTTTTTGTTCAAAGTTTATTTTTTGGCAGGTGTTACATTTGTGTTGTATGTTTTTCTCCTCCAATTTGAGCTGTTTGTTTTTTTTTTAATAAAGGTTTTGGAGTCCCTTTCCCTCACTATTGTGTTACATGTTTGTTTGTTTGTTGTTATGTTTGATTAATGCTGATTAATTTGTTTGGGAGGGGGACTGAAAGCACCTCTAAATAATTATTTAATTGTTAAATGTCTGGCAGTCACCAAGCAATAACATCTACTTGTGACACTCAGAATTAATCCACAGCACCCCACTATTACTTTCCCTTCTCCTAAACTACATCCGTTCAATTTCTCTGCCGTTTATACTTGAGAAATAGGATTTTGAAGATGTGAAAGTTAATTTTTATGAGCATTTGATATTTTTATTAATTTGTGTTTTTATTATTCTGCAGATGGTTTCTGTAGAGACATTGGACTCTGCATCCTTTTTTCTTCTAAATGTTTAACAACGGAAAGAAGTGCTTGCAAAGTATAAAGTATAACAGACTTTCCCCCCCAAAATTGGCCTTTCCATGATATTTTCATTACTAAAAAAAGTCAATAATAAAACTAATAAAAATTCTCTCAAGGATGTATTTTACATTGACTTAAACTTTTTAAAAATCCATTTTGTGAGTATTTTAATATTCAAATATGTTAAGCAAGCAGCCTGCAGGTTTGGATTCTTTAGAGAATACGTGCTATGAAGTTGGTTAGAATCATAAGCAGGAATTTGTAAATCAACTTGGCTCTCTGATTGCACTTAACTCTTTATTTAAAGATCTCTATTCACTCCCTTTTCTCTATTCATAACCTGTATTAGAAAATGGCAATCTGTTTTCATCAGAAATAACAAATGCTTGAAAGCGTATGAGAGGGGTGCTGCTTATACTCTCTTTCAGCCATGAGAGCAAGAGAGTCAGAACCCAAGTCTGGCCCCAGATGGTTACCACATATTGTCTGAGCCTGTTGCTGGTGTTTGGGTCCATCATTTCATAGATCATGTGAAGAGAATGAGGACACTGACTTAGCCACAAATGTGGTTGTGAGGAAAAGTCCTTTCCCTCATGGAACTTACGTTGTGTTGAAATGTATTATAGGCAGTAATATAATCCATTACTATATATATAATATTTAGTAATTGTATTATAATTACTATAGTATATGTTATAATATAATTATATATAGTAATGAAGGTATTCAGGTACAGATTTTCTTGGATTTGAACAAGGTCTGGAAAATTCAGCAAACCTTAACATTTTTACCCCATGTAACTAAATCCCTACTCCGCCTAAACAAGTGTATGCATTTCTACAGATCCTAGCCCAGCAAAGAAGCCCCGTTCATGAGTTATACATTTCAGTAATTTAGAATGTCTAGGCCCTGGCCGGCCACTCCGTTGGTTAGAGCATCGTCCTGATACTCCAAGGTTGCGAGTTCCATCCCTGGTCGGGGCACATACAAGAATCAACCAGTGAATACATAAATGAGTTTGTACATTTGCTTAGAGCTGGTTAAGCTTAATATAGTCTGAAACAAGACCCAGTTCACATGTACAACAACAAATCAATGTCTGTCTGTCTCCCCCCCAAAAAAATCAATAAATAGAATGTATATTGTTTATAGTGCATGTTTATGAGATCAAGTGTTCTTTGTTTAAAATTCTATTTAATGTTTGAATCTGGGATAGATACAAGATACTTTTCAATTAACAAAAATTAGTATGGCTGGTATCTACACTGTCAGATGCAAGAAGAAAACGATGAACAACGTGTCAGTAACAGTTCTGAGTACTTTACATATAGCAGCTAGTTTGGAACTTGTAAGAGCCCTAAGGATATTGTTAGTTGCCTCATTTTACAGGACAGGAAATACAGCCATAGATAGGTTAAGTAACTTGACCAATGTCCTATAACTGGTAAGTAGCACAACTGAAGTTTGACTTTGGGCATTACGTTTCCAGGGTCGCATCTTCACTGTTGCACTCTATTGTCCTGCCCTTCCAGCCTGGCGTGCCCAGCCATCATAGTCAAGAAATCTGAGCTCTGCTATGTGACTTCCATTAACTTTCCCCGTGTGCATGCCTCAGTTTCTCTTTATGTATAAAAATGTTTCTTATGCCGTGGGTTTCTCCTTATTTGTCATATCTGTTAGTTTTAGTTGTAAGAAGTTTTAGATTAAAGATGTCAGAGGTATGTAATTGCTGCATATTTCTCTACAGCTGGTAAGACAGTATTCTGATCATTTTTACTTCTTTGTTCTCATTTGATAGAAACGAGTAGTTGAACAGCTACGGAAGAACCTGATGGTAAAGCAAGAACAACCAGACAAGTTCCAAATACAGCCATTGCCACAATCTGAAAACAAACTACAAACAGCACAGCAGCAACCACTACAGCAGCTACAGCAGCAGCAGCAGTACCACCACCACCACGCCCAGTCGGCTGCACCCTCTCCCAGTCTGACTGCATCCCAGGTAACGTGTGGGTGGGGCTCTGTGGGCTCCGAGTTGTAGATCAGTGTGTTACTGGTCATGTGAACTGGGTCTTGTTTCAACTATATTAAGCTTAACTAGCTCTAAGCAAAAGTTGTTTTGGTTACTTTTTTATATTAATTATATCACATCATATCATATATCTAGGATAAGAATCACTTGAAATTCATTTGTAAAAGAAAATAACATTACTGAGGAGCAGAAATGAAATGATTTACCAGCTGTTCAAAAAGGAGGGAAAGGTAGTCAGTGACAAAGGAAAATTGCATCTCTGTATAAGAACAGAAGTAAAGTCTTATTTTGAATTTCTTGAAATATTTATTTGAGCTTGTTCTAAAATTCTGTGTAACTTCACCTCTTCTGAAATTGTTTTTCTGGAATTCTTAGCAATTAAGCATGGAGATATTCCAGGGTCAGTGCCCTTGGGACCAGGTAGAAAGAGGCAGTTAGAAGGGTGATATATTTCCATTATTCATAGAAACACAGTATTGATTTCTACGTCCGTATTCATGAGAATACGAATCCGCTCTAGCACACTGAAGGAGATCTGGAATGGAAGCTGCAGGTCAGATCTAGCACTAGGGAGCAGAAGCTTGATAACATTCTAACTTGGTGTAGCTGCGCAAAGGGTTTTACTGCAGAGGACATTTGAACTGCCTAGAGTGCGAGGGTAGTGAGGCAGTCCAGACACACGAAGAGGACATATTTGGGAATGGCCTTCAGTTAAGAAAATTACTCAAGCTTGACCTCCACACGCTTAGATGTAATGTGGGCACAGCTTTTAAAATGGGACAGTCGAGCAGAGGTTGTTGATCCTTGGAGGTCACAGACCCCTTTAAGACTCTCTTGATGGCTCTGGATCCCCTCCCCAGAAAAATACATGTAAAGGCTTAATACACTCATTGTTGCACATGATTGAAGCTCTCAAATCTTTTGAAACCTAAGTGTGGATATCTCTGACCCACCAACACCAAGTCTTCACTGTATCTTCATAGGTAAAGGGAAAGTTATCATTTACTTGGTTCCTCACTGTTTGTGGACCTTGGGCTGGTTCATAAACAACATTTTGCAAGTGAAGAATGCATTCCTTATAAAAATACTAAAGACAGGTAACATCTCACAGAGGCTCCTGTAGACTGGTACTCTCCTAAGTGCTTTACGTGTATAACGTGCATAATCCTCACCCCATCCCTAATAAGGAAGATGTTGCCCTTCTTGTTATTATCATTATTATTATTTTCTCTTTCTTTTAAGAAAAGAACACTAAGGCACAGGGAGATTAAGGAATTACCTAAAATCATGTAGGTCATACGTAGCAGAGCCAAGATTTGAACCCAGATGTTCTGGCTAAAAAATCTGTGTATTCGCTGCTCTTCTGCACTGCTGTGTAATACCAGAAAAAGAAATGCCAGCGTTGTATAAAATGCCACAAAGGGAAAAATGAAGACTTCCTTTTGGGGATCAAATAGAGCAGCCTACAAAATGTTTACCCTACTCTTCACCACAAGGTTATTTGAAAATTAGGTATTCAAACTGACTTTTGAAACCCCCTGACCAAAACTTGTCCTTCTTCTAAAAGATTGTCTACCAGATTACTGTGTTGGACTTCTAAACAGGGTTGAATTGGGCTGTTTTCTTTCCAAAGTACAGTTTGATCAGAAAGTATTTACATGGAAAGAGTGTGGTAGACTTTATTATTTTCTGGTACATAGGAATTTTCTCTCTTACCCCTTGGAAACTTTCTGTTCAAGCAACGTTTCATATCATACTAATCAGAGAAAATACTTAAGTAACATTTCCCTTCCTGGTATGATCTGAATTATGTACTGCTTTGAGGTGGCGACGGTGAGGGCCCTAGGCCTGTTCCCAGAACAGTGTTGTGTGACGTCTCTCCACCTGGAGCCCACCTGATAAATTTGATTGATCTGGTTAACCTTGTTTTATATTATTTTCTTTTATGCACTACAGATGCTTAATGTTAAAAGCCAAAAGATCCTTAATGTTAAAAGCCAAAAGATCCTCTAGGTTTTTGTTTTTACAGCAAACAATCAAGCATTGTTTATTGAGTACTCTCTGTGTGTTAGATGCTGGTATACAGAGAGGTAATAATGGTCCCTGCCTAGAATTTGGTGTACTATAATTACTTTCATTCATTCTGTAGTTACTGAGATTTTATTATATGCAAGCACTGTGCTAGGCAGCATAGAGGATAGATTCACAAATGAGACAGAATTTCTGTCTTCAAAGAATTTAAAAGCTTTAGAAAAGGAGAGGAAGATGTAAACAGCTAACAATGAAGAATGAAGTGAAAGTACCAGTGAAGAGCTGTGGAAATACCAGAGGGCAGTCGTTTTGAGTGGAGGGCTATCAGAGAGTTCTTCATGAAGGAGGTGGCATTCGAGCAGTGCCCTGACAGACACGTGAGATTTCAGTGACGAGCAGAGGGGAAAAGAGCATCGCAGGTGTAGAGAACAATGTGAACGAAAGTATGGAGCCAAAAAAGTAAGTGCGTGCCCGGGCAATAGAGAGGAGGCTGGTGTGGCTGAAGCACGGACTTCAGGAAAGGATGGAGAGGAAGATAGAACCGTAACATTAGGAAGAGGCCAGCTTGTGGAAGCCCCTCAGTGCATGACGGAACTTTTGGGAATTTTGGCAGTCATAAGGAGTCACTAAAGGTTCATGAGGTCAAGACCAAAGGAGAAATTGCATATGGCATGTATTAAATATCAAGTTCAGAAAGCAGTGACTGTTAAGTAGCAATCACAGCATGGGCAGGGAGGAGAAAGTTTTTTTATTGCAAGTCAGGTTAGCATGCACCAAGGTAGGGGGAGCAAGGGGATCAGGCCCCTTAGTTAACATCAACTCATGCTCGTATGTATATTTTGAAATTTTTTCAATCTGCAGGAAGTAAATGAAAAAATAGAATAGTTGAATGCAGGAATACCCTTCAACTTATTTTCACAAATGTAATACAAATGTAAAGAAGCATGCAGTTAATAAAACCAAACAGAAAATGAACCCCTACAGGCAAAGGAAGCTGTCTGTTTGTAGTTGTTTGAGTGTACAACAGTGACCTTCCATTCAAAATTAAACAGAGGAAATAGTCTAAAATAGGTGTGGTTGTTAATTAGAACCCACAGTAATGATCCCTGTAAGTTCTGATTTGTACATTGGAGTCTTTTGTTTTCAATCAATACCTCATGCTTTGTAGGCATACAATAATAATAACTTAGCAAAAACTAAAAAATAACAAAAAGGATTTTGCAGTTAGTTCTTCTTGCCATGTATTTCTGTATTAAGTTCTAGTTCATGCAGCTTGGGATTTGTCAAAATTAAAGAGCCCCTTCAGGAAATTGTGGGGAAACTGCTCTTTTCTCTTGAAGGCAGCCATACATGGATAGCGTGGGCCAGCCAAGGACAGCTTCCATAAAAAAATTTTTCTTTGTTGTTGGATATCTTTCCTCTTTTTTCCCTCCTGCCAGAACAGTTCAGAGGTTTTTAATTAGGCTTGAATCTCAAAATTCTAGATTCTCTTTGTCCTCTAAATTCTACACTCCAAGATTGATTTATGTTCCTAATAATTAGAATAGAATAGTGCCAGACCGGGAGTAAAGATTCAAATAATACCTGTGTCGATACCTGGTGTCAATAAATAGTAAATATATTCTCCAAAAAGTTTTCCTTGATGCATATAATACCGTGTCTTGTGCCTGTGTATACAAAGAGTTATACAGATGCTAAGATACATGGAGTATAATTAACCACAACTGAATGTTTATAAAGGAGAGTAAAAATGCTAAGATATGAACAAGCTAGTTAGGTTTGTGGGTTTTTTTTTAAGTGTTGGCAGTTAATGGTAAGTATATAATTCAGGTGAGTTTGAGGTCTCACTTAATCCTTTTAGGGTTATTTAAAACAACCTTACTTGAACCAAGGAGGTTTCAAACAAAAGTATATTAACCTCTTTCAAAGCAGTAACAACACGCACAACTGATTTTAAAACCCACGTCGCTGAGTGCTGCTGATTAGAGTGTTCCCTTCAATAACCCGTGGAAGTACCTGGAGTGAATACCATCTGGTGGGGCTTGCTTGCCACTTCAAAGTTTAGACTGTGTTTTAAATTAAAGATAGAGCTGATATCACCCTGGGTTAAAAACACTTACTACAAATAACTGGTTGGTAATATAAAGTCAGTCCTTGCTGCTATATTACAGTAACATTTCTAATGCTAAATAGCATTTAGCTTTTTATTTGTTTTTCATCCCTGATATAGAGTAGATGACCTGCTAACCTCCGAAATAAATATAAGTTTTCCCCTTTCACTCCCATTTCATATTTGAGAAGGCAGTGGCAAGGAGAATAAGCCACTCCTATGTTTAGTGACTCAGAGCAGAAGAAACAAAGATTTAGGTGATTTGTCTATAACCAGACAACTTAATACACAAATGCTAATGTGGACACCCAAATAGAAATTCAAAGGGAATTTGTCCAGATCTGGGTCCAGGAGCGTGGGGTCCTTCTCACTGGTCTGGAGCAGTGCCGTCCGGCGGGACTTTCTGCACTGTTGGAAACCTCCACCGTCCAGTGTGGTTGTCGCTGGCCACAGGTGGCTGTTCAGCATTTGAAATGTGGCTAGGTAACTGATGAACTGATGTTTTAATTTAATTTCGTGTTAATGAACTTAATTTAAACAGCTATATGTGGCTAGTAGCTTCCAAATTAGACAGTACAAGTGCAGAGTAAGAAGAAGAAGGTGGGTTAGTATCCAAATCAGAACCAACAAGTTGGACCAGCTAAATTTTCATGTTCTGGAAATGTCTGCATCTTGAATGACTGACGAGTAGCACTAGATAGGTGCGTATGCCGTGTAACCGGCTCCTTCAGTTACTCTAGTAAACAGTTCAGGACAGTGCAGCTTCAAAGCTGCAGTAGCTCTTACGAAGCGTCAGTCAAGTCCTCTCACCTCAGTTCCTCCTCTGATCCGTGAGGCTTTGGAAACTCAGGTGTTTGTTTCCACCTTGTCACATTTCACTGACTCTTCGATCACTACTGCAGTTCTCCGGAGTAAAGATTATAGGTAGTGAGTGACTCCTATCCCTTTGGTATCACTGGATATTTTTTGGTATTTACTATACTAGTTGGTTTTATTATCCAGTTTGGGACTTATTGCCTCCAAGGCAGCAGTTACACTAATCCTCATATGAGGTTCCCTTCTACCTCTCCAGGGTGACACTCAAAAGAATGAGAAGTACTGTCCTTTTATTCCCACCTTCCTGGCACAGAAGGCAGATAATCAGAATTATATGATGGCTTTCTTCCTGTTGATGAGGTTGTAGCAGTTAAGGATATAGAGATAGTGTGTATTGCAACTTGTGCAAAGTGTAAAGTAATTGAAAGCAAGTTAAGAATTAGAAAAACCGGAAGAAATAGGTACACTCATATTCTGTTTCTATAAACCCACCACAGCTCTGGCTGGTGGATTGAGCACCAGCCTGCAAACCAAAAGATCGCCAGTTCAATTCCCAGTCAGGGCACGTGCGTGGGGTGCAGGCTAGGTCCCCAACTGGGGGCCTGCGAGAAGCAACCGATTGTTTCTCGTCTTTTCTTTCTCCCCCATCTCTGAAAAAATAAGTAAATAAAATCTTTCTTAAAAAGTGATAATTTTTTTAAAACCCTGCCCCATTCATTATTGAAAACCTTGTACCCATACTAGTCACAGCTATTACTGGGAGCTTGGAACTAGATTGAGAATCTGGCAAACTAGAAACTGTCCTTCTCCGCAGTCAGACATGGGCTCTGTGTACACAGAAGAAATGTCGTCATACTGGGAAACTGGACTGATGATGAGAATGAACTGCTTTGTTTTCGGCTGGGGGTTAGCAGCATACTGTTGAGTGGGATCACACTTCAGTGTCCTAATACCTGTTCTCCATGTCTCCTAGAAGACTGTAACTACAGCTTCTATGATTACCACAAAGACACTACCTCTCGTCTTGAAAGCAGCAACTGCGACCATGCCTGCCTCTGTTGTGGGCCAGAGACCTACCATTGCTATGGTGACCGCCATCAACAGTCAGAAGGCTGTGCTCAGCACTGATGTGCAGAACACACCAGTCAACCTGCAGACGTCTAGTAAGGTCACTGGGCCTGGGGCAGAGGCTGTCCAAATTGTGGCAAAAAACACAGTCACTCTGGTAAGCCAGCAGCTGCTACTCATGTGTGCCCACATGAGAGGGTTCAGGATATGCGTTTGTGGACTAGATCCGTTTTATGCTCCTGCTGGATTTTCTAGTCTCCGTCCCTCTACCACACCAAATTCCCCTTGGGGGCTGACTAGGGAATATAGCTTTCCTACCTTCTACTCAAGTAACTGTCCAGGGTTCCTGACACCAAAGACCAGGGCCCATTCAGTGTGTTATCTGGGGCCAAAGTTTGACTTGACTTGATGGGGGGGAAATGCCCTTCACAGAGGCATACACACTGTGTCATGTCTCTCTCCCTCCTCTCCACAGCCCTGCTTCACTTCCTATGCAACTCGAGTGCCTAGACTCTGGTGCCCTGTTACTGATTAGGGGAAACTCCCTGCTGCATCCCTTTAGTTCGCTGTCCCCTGAAATTGACTGTACCCAGGAAGTACCAGAGTCAGTGGGCACTTTAGAAATATTCAGGAAACTCACAAACAGTATCCAGTGCCCAATGTCTTTCAGAAAAAAAAAAGATCCTTTGAAGGAGGAAGTACTTGAACACAATTGTTCATGAGATTTTTAGGGTAAACCATTTAGAAACTGATATTCTCAGAGTCTTGGGGAAGGGTATCCAAATATTTGTTTAAAAATTTGCTTCTAAAACGGCAGCTAAGAGTTCTTGGTGGCTGTTGAATGATGACCAGTGATAAACTAGAGAGCAGTGAAGTGAAGCTTCACTACTTAAAAAAGAACAGGAAAAACCAGGAATCTTTACAGAAGCAACCAGAGAACTCAGCCAGATGCTGAGAGTTAGAAAATCCTCTATAGGAATAAAGCCATTCACCGTCAGATTAAGCTCTACTGGTAGGAAGGGGCCCATTTGGCCTGGCAGCAGGTTGATTTTCCTTTGGATCCAGTCTTGACTTTTAAAATACATCGGTGCAGGAGTTCTTGAGTGTCCGAGGAGACTGTCTAAGTTGCTGAGCCTGCAGGTGTGTGAGGGAACAAATGTGACTGGTTCACTCTGTGGGGGAAAGGAGTGCAGGTGGGAGAGGAAAGCAGTTTCTTAAGGTGTGTTAATTCAGATGATTGATTCCGTAGTGAAAGCTTGCAGAAAATGTCGTCTGATCCAGGGAACAGTGATGCTGAAAGTACTTTAAGAATGTCTAGCTTTGATGTTGAACATTTATTGTCATCTCTGGTTTACTTATCTTTCTCATTTTTTAGCAGGTTCAGGCAACACCTCCTCAGCCCATCAAAGTACCACAGTTTATCCCTCCTCCCAGACTCACTCCGCGTCCGAACTTTCTTCCCCAGGTGGGTAAGCCAGTGGCCAGCCCAGCGAGGGCCCGGTGGGGTGGAAACCCTCGTGGGCCCTTTCTGCGCAGCCTGTGGCGCTCTTGTGAGCTCAGCTGTATTCAGACAGACCCCGCTTAGCTGAAGACTCCAGCTACTGATTGCTGTGCCATGACGAAGCTTACTTTATCATCGGGGTTTCTTAGCAGTGACCGATGGCAGTAGCAGGAGGACATAAGGACAGGACAGTTTCCTAAATGTAAAAAATTAAGATAACACCATTTTAAACGTTATAATGTTAACTTACTGGAAGAAGTTAGCCAAAACCTGCCTGCCAGTGGGGAAGGAATATGAATACCACTTTTTATTTATTTTGTTCTATATGCCAGAGAGAGCAGGGAAGGAAACACCAGCCAAACTATCCAGTAGAAACCATTCAGTTCTGCTCTGGGAAGCGATGGCATCGAGCCTCATACCTAAACATGAAGCCTTGCTTATGAAGACTTCGACTTGGGTGTACACAGGGAACCTTCTGTGCAGGCCCAGGCAGCGCGGCTTGCCCACATTCTGCTGAGAGCGTTCTCCCAGCAGTTGGGCTGAGTTCGCCCTTCCCTGGCAGAGTGTCAGCGCTGCCCCAGTCTGCATCTTGAGGGGAGCGGTTTGCCTGCTAGAAAGGCTGGTAACTCCTGTCCGAGGCCTCAGGTTTCAGGCAAAGAGGGAAGAGAAAGGAATTTTGTGGTCAGTGGCCATAAGTGATTTCTAAACTGCCTATGTGATTTTAATCATTTATCAGATAAATTCTCAATAAATACCTTGTGTTTCAGAAAAGGCACTAAGCCCTATGGGTGCTTAGTGCTTAGCAAGACAGACCGTTCCCTGCCCTCAGAGAGCTGCAGACACATGTACAGGCAATTACACTGTCCACTCTGGGAAGGGCAGGGTAGTCTGTGCTCGTTTTAACGAGTATTACAGAACATTTCCTTGAAGACTTGACGTTCTATCTGAGACCTAAAATCCTAGTAAAGTTAGCCTGATAAAGTTTTGGGGGAAGAATAAACATGCTTCAGGCAGAAGGCAAAACATATACTTACATCAGGGATGGAGAAATGCATGTAAGCCTGAGGAACCAGACACGATTTGGTGTGGCTGAGCGCAGTGGGCCATGTGGCTGACTCAGGCTGGGTAGCCCATGAGGCTGGAGACGCCCACAGGGCCAGAGCCGGCGCGGCCGCATCCCAGGAACCGGGGGAGCCATGAAAGCATTTACAGACAAGTACTTGGCATGATCAGATTTTCGTTTTAGAAAATTTCTTCTTGCCCGCGTGTGGAAAATAGATTAGAGGTTGTCAAGACTGGGGGGGTGGGGGGGGGGCGTGGAAAACAGTTAAGATATTGTCAGTAATAATAGCTACAGTTTAGAGAATCTTGCTACATGCTACTTGCTGTGTGGGAACTTTACATGGGTTATCTATTTTAATTCTCACAACAATCCTATGAAAGTAGGTATTGCTCTTTTTTAAGTGGTGGGTCATGACTCATTAGTCAGCTGTGAAATCAATTTAGTGAATTGTAAGCAGAGTTCTTAAATAAAATGAACAAAACATAGTAGGAACTACTAGAGCACATAGCACACAAGTATTGTTTCATGGAGTTTTTATTTTATAGAGATATATGTCTATGTGTGTGTACTGGTGACAGTGTGAAATGTATTTCCTACTGTGTGTCTGCAGCACCCACCACGGGGTCACCTTAAGTTTAGCCAAACAGACTCACACTAGTCTGACTTAGATGGCACTAATCTACTTAGAACGATGCAGGGCAGAAACCAGAACTTTTGCTCAGCTCAGATGTTTTTCTTGCGTGGGAGTGAGTCCCTGCAGTAGCCCACAGGGTGGTCTCTGCAGCTGCCCAGGGACAGCTCAGGTGCAGGGACACCAGGACGGTGGGAAAGCCACTCTGGCACAGAAGCCTTTTGCCTCACAGAAGCCTTGTCCTGTAACACATCCACAGGCATAGCTTTCAAGGTCCCCAGTGGACATGCCCAGTTATGAATCTCCTCCTGCCTTGGGAAACGCAGAGTATGGTGTCCCGTCAAGTATTTATAAATATCCCCGTTCACAATAAAGAGACTAAAGAATCATTTTTACTATAAGCAATGTTGCCTGGTAACATAGTTGACATTGTTACCTTTATCAGGTTTCCAGGAGAACAGAGCTAGAGAGTTAACTGAAGGTCAAACTCTAATGCACAAGGGGAAGGATTTACCCATGGGGAGGGGTCACAGTTTAGAAAGTTCGAGAAATACTGGCTTAAAGAGATCAGGTATGTTGCCTTAGGTTATACGGCTAATAAGTGGTAGAATTAGGATTTGAACTCAGGCAAGGCTGAGCCCATGTTTTTAATCACAGTTTTCTGCCATTGTTCCAGTGCGGACGGAAAGCAGGACATATCTGAGAAGGACTTAGGAAGTAGAGATGGAGTAGGAAGCACCAAGAACATATTTAGGAAAGGAAAGGCCATTTACTGAGGTGATGATTATAGGAAGAGGAGATGGTTGGAAGAAGAAATCAAAGAGTTTAGACGTGTTGATTTTGAACTTCTTGTGAGATTTCCAAGTAGAGATGTCTAGCAGGCAGTCAAATGCAATTCCGAATTTTAGGGAATGCCTGGTCCTAAGCTGCGAGTGTGGAAGCTTCAGTACACAGATGGTAACTGAAGCCAGAGGTGGGTGAGGGCTCCCAGGAGGAGTGAGGACACTGGGGAGAAAAGGGGTCCCAGGACAGAACCCTGAGAAATACCTACATTCAGTATGGGACGGGAAGAGGAAGCCCACAGATCGAGACGGGGAGTTTTAGGGGCACAGACGCGGGTGAGCCGAGGCTGTGGGTGGGAAGAAGTTCCGAGTGTGAACTAAGGCCATTGGCGGCACTGTCACCATACTCGGGGCACAAGTACGGTGGGACGAGGCTCTGCATCGGGGATTCGACCTCAGCCTGGAAGAGGCGGCCTGGTGTGGTAGAGGGAGCTCGGTCCAGAGCCAGAAGAACTGCGTTCTAGGGTAGTGTTGGGACCCACTTAAGAGCTGATGAGTATTCTATAAAATTATATCTCTTAAGATCTATAAAACAATAAAACCAAAGTGAGTATTAATATTTGTACTAAATAACATTTCACATACATAGTGTGGAAGATCTGACAATAACTTAGACTTACAGGAAGTTTCTTTAAGTAATACGATAATTGTTCTCTCTTTCCCCATAGGTTCGACCCAAGCCTGTGGCCCAGAATAACATTCCTATTGCCCCAGCACCTCCTCCCATGCTTGCAGCTCCTCAACTTATCCAGAGGCCTGTTATGCTGACCAAGTTTACCCCCACGACCCTCCCTACCTCCCAGAATTCCATCCACCCCGTCCGTGTCGTCAATGGGCAGACTGCAACCATAGCCAAAACGTTCCCCATGGCCCAGCTCACCAGCATTGTGATAGCTACTCCAGGGACCAGACTCGCTGGACCTCAAACTGTACAGCTTAGCAAGCCAAGCCTTGAAAAACAGGTACAGGCAAGAGTATGCACCTGTTCTGAGCAGTAGCCCTGCTGTTGCGGCTGGGCTGTCTCTAGATACATCTTCTCAGGGGCTCTCTGTCTCAGCACCATTATTAATTACCTGTTGCTCATTGCATGATAATTTATTCAAAATGCAGAAGGGCCATTCTTACTGAAGAAAGTTGGGTTGCTTTTTCCATTATCCCCTTATGCGTAGATGGATTCCGAGTCCTGTGTGAGTGAGCTCCCCCTGCTGGTTCCGAAGCAGGAATTCACCCAGGGGTTCTGCTACCCCCAGTCAGGAAGCACAGATGAGGTAGTAAACAAAGTGCCACGTTGGTTCGGCCCAGTAAGAATCCAGATGAGGACAGAACTCTGCAAGTTGGGAAGAATAAACAAAAGAAGGCAAGGGATTTCATCTTAAAGATTTTCCCTGGTTATTACAAATAATGAAGAGCCAAATGAAAAAAATTAAAATTTCTAAAAAGCATTCTTTTAATTCTAGAGAATACTGACATTTTAGCTCAAATATTGAAGCCTTTATTTATATTTCTAAAAGCAGATGTTTCTTTAAAAACATGAGGCTAGAGAAATACAAGTAAGCTCCGAAAATACTCAAGGATTCTATGACAGAAAGACTTCTAAAAACATAAAAAAGGATTTATAGGTAGTCACCATATATTCCGTTTAAAGAAAAACAGTAATGAAAAAAAAAGAATTTTGCACAGAAAAGCATCCTCTTTCAGAGAGTTGCTTTAAAAAGTCATTGACCTACTTCTAATTGCTCAGGCTTCTCATTCATCTGAAAACAGTCTGGTGATCCTGAATCTTCTGCTTCTGGGTGGCTGACTGTGATCCAGAGAGGCTGGCCAGACGGTGGGGAATGAGAAGGCTTTCTGCTGCCTTGGCCTCCCTGAACAGAGGAACCTTCTGCACGGGGCACCTGGCTTTCTAGCCGGGCAGCTCATCGGTGCAGCCGGCCTTCCACTGACAAGCTGGGCCCCCAAATCTTGTGCTCAGACCACACGAGAGAGAGCACGTCTCTGTTCCCCGGGAGCTGCTCAAACCCCAGGAAATGCTTTGGGGAGCATTCAAAAATAAACTACTTGCACATATTTTAGGTCAGAAGTTTTCAAATTTATTATCAGCAGAACTTCAGTATTAAAATTTGAATGTAGAGTGCTCAGGCTGAGGAGTTTGGGTGGAAGCGCGTTCGAAGGGCATCTGCCCTTGTGTTCGGGGTGGCTGTCAGAGTTCTGCTGAGGACCTTGGGAATGATAAAGAGTGTGGTTCCAAAACACTGTCTCAGATCACTCAGTGTTATTTCTCTTTGACCTCTTTTTTGATATTTTTAGTAGACAAGAATTTTTGCAGTTTTATCTTTTTATGTTTCTTGTTTTTTTCTGATTACAAAGATAATACATATTCACTGTAAAAGAAAAATTCGAACATTACAGAAATGTATATTGTAGAAAATGCATCCCCCCATGATCTATGAGTACGAAAAGAATAAAATTCCCACAAAATTTGACCCACCCAAAAGTTGCTATTAACAGTATGGGTTCTATTCCTCCACATATGTTCTGTATACATACTATCATTTTTAAAGCAGAAAAAAAAATCAATATATATTATTTTGTAACTTGCTCTTTTTCTTATGAGAGCCTGAATGTCTTTTATGTCTTGGCCTTACACATGGATAGAGCTTTTAATTTTAATATCATAGGAAGGTACCCATAAATTCTTAAAAATAATGTTTCCCAGTGATAAATGCTGTGGTCTCTCTTCCCGTTGACCTAGTGGAGGAACCCAGGCACTGCTGTCTCAGCTGAGCCGTCCCCCTGGCGGACAGTCGTCCAGGCTAGCCGGCCAGGCTCAGGAAGGGCTACCAGCAAGGGTACCAGCAAGGATCCTCTTTAGACTGGACTCCATTCTCAACATTCTCTTCGGATTTTTCCACTGTCCTTTCTTTCTCCTTCTTGTTCACTTCCCAGTATCACGTATGTAGTCTTTAAGGAGTCTCAGAGATGGGCTAGAGTGAAGCAGTGTAAATACAGGGTGGGGCAGAAATAGGTTTCCAGTTGTGAGTGCATGAAACAGTTTATTCTCTCATTCTTTACTAATTATTGTATTATTTTCCATATGGACAACTACAGACCTACTTTTGCCTCACCCTGTAATGTATCCACGAAGTGCCACTTAGAGCCTGCTCGTAGAGTTACCCAAACCTCCCAACACTGTCTGTGACCAAGCTAGGTGGGTTCCTTTCTGCCTTCTGCTGTTCCTTTAGGGTGAAACATTTGGTTCATAGAAATATGCTCATGTGCCAGCTGCTATGCCACACGTGGTGTCTCAGCACAAAGGTAGATAAATCAAAGGCTTTGCCCTCAGAGAGCTTGGAGCTCTCCCAAGGGAGGAAGCCTGGCAGGTTGTGCAGAGTCAAAGACCCCCCACCTTGGCACAGGAAAGGGAGAAGACGGTGTTCATTAGAACGATGGTGGTCTTACTTCCTCTGTCAGGGATCATCAGCTTCCCTATCCACCCTTGACTTAGCCCTTGTTAGAAGCCACATTTATATCATGACTCTGAAAAAATGAGTGGTAGAATTGAGAGCTTTGAGACTAGAAATATACTTTAGGGAGAAAAGTAGATGAATCCAAACTTATGTCATAGGCCCTGCAGTACTACCTTTGTGTCCTTATCCTGTCTGGCACCTAGGAAATGGGGCTAATAAACACCTGTTGGTGATGGAATGAGATGAAGTGTTTCAAGTCCATCAGACTGTGTCTGACCCAGTTAGTTCGCAGGGATTATGTTCGTTTCTATGCAGCAAAGACCTCTATGTATGCCCGAAGGCTCAGCTACTGAAAAAAATCCCAGGTTTTATGGCACAAACTGCCAAATTGCCACCGTTCCCATACTTCCATACACAAGGTCTGTCCAGAGGGAATCCAGCCATGTAATATGAAAAATACAGATGTTTATTGAAGAAGAGACAAGACAGACAGAAGAAACATTATACATAAAATAATGATGCCTCAGTCCCCTTCAAAGTAGGCACCTTTGGCCTCACAGAGTTCTGCCAATTGCCATCAGCTTTCCTGACACATTTTTCTGAACCTCATCTATGGTCTGATATCTCTTTCCCTTTAGAGGTGACTTTAGTTTTGGAAGAAGCCAGAAGTTGCAGGGTGCCAAATCTGGGCTATAGGGGGGCTGAGTCACCTGGGTGATTTGATGTCGCACCAGAAAAATTCTTCAAGAGGTGATACATGAGCAGGTGCATTGTCATGAGCCGGTGCATCGTTGTGATGAAGCTTCCAGTCACCAGTTTCCCCTAGCTGTGGCCTTCTGAATCATCTGAATAGATTCTGCTGAGGAATGTTTAGGATTACCGCGAAATTTGATGCAGATTCGTTGCTCTGCTCACTCAGTAATTTTGAATGCGACAGCCACACAGTACACGTGCTCACTGGATGGCGTCTACCACCCCCACTGACTAGTACAGTGAAAGCGTCGTTGTTCACGCATGCGCATTCCAGTCCACTCTTCTTGGCTGCCACCTTACGTGGATGCTGTGCAAACCATTCTTGTTATATTAACAATGGCTGGACTTTTTCTGGAAAGACTTCATATGTCTTGCATAGGAACTTACACAGTATCCTCTAAAAAAAGGAATACTTTCAAGATGAGAATATTTTCTGATGTGTTACCCTCAAATCCCAGTATTGCCCTCTTAGTAAACCTGAGCTGGTGACCCTGTCTTCCGCTTGAATACTCTCGTGAGGAAAACAGATCCAAGTGGCCAAACAATGGATTTTGCTTTGCCTTCAATTCAAATTTATTTAATCTTAATTGATGGAACTATTTGGACATTTATTTATTTGCCAGTTCCTGACCTTGATTATTCATGTAGCCAAGTCTCAGAAGGTAAATTTGGAATTAAGGGTATAAGATGGTTAACTTAGTTCTAGTCTTATCCAGAGTTTTTGATTTCTGTCTTCATAATATTAGAAAGAACAAGATTTACAAATTTAAATAGCCATGGGTGTGAAGCAAGAAATATAAATGAGTAAAGCAGGCTGGAATTTTTTTTCTTGTTGAATGATACTTCAGTTGTACAACTTATTTAGTGTACATTATCAGGTATATTTTACATTTCTTTAAGACTGAGATTTATTGATGACTTCAAATTTGGAATCTTTGAATTTGAAGCCAGGGAATGCACTCATGTCTGCTTTACCATACACTTGTTTAAGTTTAGAAAGCTCGCTCTCATCCTGGCTGGTGTGGCCCAGTTGGTTGGGGTGTCATCCTGTCTTTGAGAGGTTGTGGGTTCGATTCCTGGTCAGGGCACACACCTAGGTTGCGAGTTTGATCTCCAGTCTGGGCGTGTTCAGGAGGCAACCAGTCAATGCTTCTCTCTTGCATCAGTGTTTCTGTCTGTCCCATCCTCTTTTTTGAAAAGCAAAGAAAAAAAATGTCCTCGGCTGAGCATTAAAAGCCAAAATTAAAGGCCAGTCCCCAACAAAGATTTAAGGAAAAAAGCTCCCTCTCCAACCCTTTGGGCCAGTATCAACAGATTGTCCAGGTGGCAGTCGCTTAATTCTGTAGTGTGTGATCTTGTCCACAGAGAGTCTCTGTACAGGTTCCTTGGTAGTGTCCCAGCTGTCACCCCAGCGTTCCTCCTCACGAGGGCTGGGACCGCAGGCCGACCTGCAGGAGAGCCCGAGGAGCCTCTGAAGAACTACGGTGGCTGCGTGCCGGGCAGGGAGCCACTGGGAGACAGTCTGCTGTTCTTCCACTTCCGTTCTTAATTCTTCTTTGAAATAATTGGACAAGCATGGTAAAGCTGACCATGCGGCCTCCGTGTCGAGAAGACAGTAGAAAGTGGGCGAGACCATGGTAAACTGCCAAGTAATACTCCATCTCCAGGAAGCAGCTACTTCTCGACCGCAGCCAATTTTTATCATCAGGGAACTTTTTCAAGAAAAGCCAAAATCCAGATATTTTGAGGAATCGCCTGCTTTTTAAAATACTAGTAAATATTTAAACACCGTGCAGGCAAAAAATATCTGCAGAGAAGTTGCACCTCGGATAAGGGTTTATAATCTCGGGCAGAGACCAGACTTTTAGCTTGCCCCATGTTGTTTGTTTCCCAACTTGTTAAATTGAGGTGAAATTCACATCACATAAAAGTAACGTGGAAGTGAATAATTTTAAGCAAAATGACATATAATGAAACCAATTTTACCGTAGGCTAGTTGATATAATATACATTAGGAGCTTGCTTATATCAATGAGCGTATGGTAAAATCGGTTAAAGTCGTGGTTTCCAAGAACCTACTGACAACATTAACTGAGGCCTGACTGTACACATTGAGATGCTTTCACCTGATGCCATTTGTCAAGTCACTCCAGCCTGAGGAGGACAAAGCAAAGGTCAGCCTCTGTGCCGGGCCTCAGGGAATCACCAAACAGGTCAAAATGTGCAACCACAGGTTGTTTGAGAACGAGGCCCATGTTGCTCCCCTGGCACCATCAGGTCATACCAGGAACACGGTTGCCATCCCCATGGCCTCTGCCCAGCTAGGGAACAGGGTTTTGTAGATGGGTAAGGAAAAATATTTTCTTAGTGGAACACAGCAGCCCTTTTATACGTGCCCCCCCTAGTTGCAGTAAGTTTTTTATTAGATTCCAGAATTCTCAGGAGTTGATTCTGTTTTTGCCAGCTTAATGGTTGCTTCGGTAAAGGATTAGTCCTTAGCGTCCCCTGTTTTTCCATTTCTGTGATATCACTCCCCGACCCTAATGGCTTTTATTTGTTTCAAAGCGCTTAAAACAGCAAACAGTCATTATGTCACACAGTTTCTGAGGGCCAGGAGTCAGATTGCATCGTAGCTGGGTGCAGCTGGCTCACAGTCCCTCAAAAGTTTGCGTTCAAACTAGTTGGCCAGGGCTGCAGTCGTCTCAAAGGCTCAGCTGGAGCTGGAAAATCCACTTCCAGTCTCGGGCTGGTGGTTGTGGCCGGAGGTTCAGTTCCTCACCACGTGGGTCTCTCCACAGTGCAGGTCGCAACACGGCAGCTGGCCTCCCCCGGATGAGAGGTCCCTGAGAGAAAAATGCCTCCCCAGTGTTTTGGGGGTTCTCCTTAATGTTTTCTATCCAACCCTGACACAATTGTATTCTTCTGCACCAAAGAGAGAATTTGAACCCTGGATAATCCCTTAGTGGAGAGGACCTGGTTTGTCCTTGCCTGGAGGCATCACCGCCCTGTGCTTTGCTCTGCCTTAAAGACTGGAGTGACTGCAGGGAACCTCACACAGCTTGAGTGGAGCAGCCAGCCCTTGCCGTTGACCTTGTCGTCTCCCTCCTCCCTCAGAGTCCTCTCCTTCCATGTGGACAGGGCTGTGGAAGTCTGCTTTCTGGCCACCCAGGACCTTGAAAATGTCGTCACCAACTGTTGTCCCATGTGTTCCCTTGTAGGTGTGTTTAGTGGTTTGTTTATGGAGTAAGTGTGTCCTTCTTTTTTTTGGTTCAAAAATGTGTGTGGTGTGAGAGAGAGGAGACACAGGTGATCCTCCCTGTGGGCGGCGTCCCCACTCAGAAGTTCAGCGTCTCTTCGCAGTGTGTTTACCGTGCGCCTGCGCTGCGCGAGGCGCTGCACCGGGCGCAGAGGGGAGCAGAAGTGCAGGGAGCAGTTGCTGCTGTGAAGCAGGGTATAGTACAGAGGAGGAAGCAGGACAAGACACTGGTTTAAAAAAAAAAGCATTTTTACCCCAAAACAGACACTTACACTTTCCTAACGTAACATGAGAATCGAGGAAAACATGGAAGCAGCCAGGAAAGAACATGAAAGATCTTTGTGGTTGAGTTAGTTTTTCAGATCTTGTAAAATAATTTCTCAGCATAATGGTTTTCGAGAACTTCCGATGTCTTGCCTGTAGGACCAGCGTCTTTGTATTTGGCTCCTGCTCATCAATAATCAGTTTCATTTTCACTTACTTAATTACTTGTTGTTGCCTTACAAAGAGACCGTTGGCATCTGCTTTTTTAATTTTGAAAAGGTAAATTAGGTTCCTGTTTAGTTTTATATCCACTGTTCTAGCATCATTTCAGTATTTACAGAGGGCTTCATAAAATGAACTATCCGCTGGGTCATGATGAGAATGGTAATGCAAGCCCAGTCTGCCAATTTGCTGGCTGCCATTTGTGTTCGAAGATGATAATGCTGCTGGTGTTTCTTTTGTTTGACTGGTCTCTGGAAGACAAGGTTGCAGGTAATCAGGATGTCAGCCTCCTGCAAGATGACCTTCCCTGGCTATTGCATCTCTCTAATGGATGATGCAGGCAGGTTTTAAACATCCCAGTGAGGGTAGTCCTGCAGCCTCTTTTAGATTATGATTGTGATTAGAAAAGTACTGACACAGAAGAGTGTGTAGGTAAGGTTTTTACATTAGTCAGATCTTAAGCACACCGTGGACTGGAGCTTGACCCGTATGTAACAGGAGTGGGTTTGCTTTTGGAACACTGCCCCTACATTCTAAAATACATTAAAATCAGAGCTGCCTATACTTTATTTTTATACGTAGGAATTAAGCCATAGGTTTTTGTTTTTGTATAATTTAAACTATTTATTTACAGATTCATGTTTACTCTAGTTATATAATTTCACCACGTCAGCTGGGGCCTTACAATTCACGGGGCCCTGCCTGCTTTATTTACCATGTTTCCACTTTGAGTGTGTTCTGTTCTTCCTTGTCAACTGTAGTCAAACTGTTTGTTTTTAGTCTTTTAGTAAAAAGTGAATTCTGAATTTTCATTTAATTTTCCTCTCCTAGACAATTAAATCTCACACAGAAGCAGATGAGAAACAAGCAGAGAGCCGCACCGTCACCCCCCCTGCCGCGCCCAAACCCAAACGGGAGGAGAACCCGCAGGTAGGCCCAGCCCTCCGGAGGCAGGCCCAGTCTGCTGGACACCTGGCTTTTTCTCACACCCGGGTTGGGGGGGGGGTGTGGGACACACACACTTGCTCCTGAATCACCTTATTTGTCTTGGCTTTTGCTTTCTCACTATGTAGTAATGTCGCTGCCAAGTCAGACAGGCCTCGGGCAGACTAAGAGTGTGGCCTTGAGTGTCCATGAGCTGGCCCACAGGCTTTACATGCACATGCTACAAATCTGAAATGTGAGATTAGTGATTATTTTCCCAGATACCCCGTTGCGTTTCTGATGACGATTATGTTTTAATTTGTCTCAGCCTACATATATAGGGTATTCAGTTCACTCAGTAAAGGCCTGTTTATATTATGGATTACAGTTGTTACATGTGCTTTTTGTTATTGCTGTTGTATTGCACTGGATTCCCCAATCTCAGATGAACCAGTAGCTGAAAGGTAGTTCATTGATGTGTAAAAGTAGGGATGAAAATAGTAACATCTGTACCACAATTTAGGATAGAATTGTAAACTAAAATAGCAAATGAGACTCTGGTACAAGTGTAGAATGTGAATTACATGTCATTAGACAGGAGAATTTTTAAGTGTGATAATTTTGCACAAGCATAAAAGGAAAAATCAGACAGGTAATCTGATGATGAGTTTCCAGTGGCTGGATTTTATTAAACCAGCAATCCATTTCCTCCTCTCCTCAGTGCTGTCTCTGTAGGGAGGCCCTGTCACTCAGAGGCATGAAGCCATTGAAGCTGTGTGTCATTGTTTAAAAACAAAACAAAACAGTGATTTATTAAGCCAGTGAAGGTTTTTCTAAAACAAGTACAAATTATAATTCTTTATGATATGAAATGGATTAATTTTTAATTTATCTTTAAATTTTTAAAGGAGGGACCCAAAACCTGAACCAAAAGGACTAGTCATGCAAATTGCCGAGAAACTTGTAAAAATGACCCATAAAGTTAATAATAAGTACTATGTTTGGAGGGAAAAACAGAGCAAGCTGTCAGCAAGGTTCCCGTGTGAGGAGGAACCGAGGACGTCTTGAGTCAGGGGCTCAGCGGCGAGCAGGGACCGCCAGCCCATGCGTCAGCGGGCGTTCACCTCTGCGCTGGGTGGGACCACCGCCTTAACCAGAGCTCACTGGTCCTTGGCCTGTGTGCGGTAACACAGACAGGGCAGGAGTTCCCAACAGTTTTTTGTTTCGTTTATCACTGGAAATCTCCACAAAAGAAGACTTTTTTTTCCGTTTAGTGATTCTTTGTGACCTCCTGATCCAGACCGGCAAAGATGAGCCAGATATGAATGGCCAAGAAGGGTGCTGTCACTCGATTAAAGAAAGTGCATCTAAGTGGCAGTCCTCACACTGCTTTATTAACAGAGAACAGTTGGTAGACAGCCTTCTAATCTTGACTAAGTTTTGAGTGAATAGTGAAAATTAGGAGTGTAGTTATTTGGCAGCCATAAAATGCGTGGCATTTCAATGTGCAGACCAGAATATGAGTGGCGTTCAACACTACTTTTTTTGCAGAACACTCTGGCTATCGGGGGAGAGGTGCCCATGTAAGGCTGGAATAAGAAATAAAATAAAAACGCTTCATTGAGAAAGTAGATGCAGGCCCTCGTCCTTCTGGTGTTGGTCCCTGTAACACAAAGAAGCTTGCAGGGTGGCTCCGTAGTGTTTAAGAATGGAGCCTGTCCTGCTCTTCGTCCACCTGAACTTGGCCTCCTTTAGCCACCAGCCTGTCGGGCTGCCTTCCCCTAGGACTCTAACTGGGAGCATGCATTTGGCTTTGTGAGAACCCGCACTGAAGCGTATTCATCTTTTGTTTCTCTGGCACAGAAACTTGCCTTCATGGTGTCTCTAGGGTTGGTAACACATGACCATCTAGAAGGTAAGCGAAGATACTCATGGCGTGGCCTCGCTTCTGGCTCAGAGCCGTGTTCCCAAAAACGGTGTTTGATTGTATTGCTGGAATAGGAAACCGAAACACAAATAGAGTATCATTCAATCACTGTGGCCTTATTTCCTTTAGAGTAAAAATTGCTATTGTTCAGCCCCTCCCCTTCCTGTCATTGTGTATCCACAGTGCTGTTGTGGGCGAACCATCCGGTTGCCTGGATTAAGGTGACTTCTGTTCACTTAGGGGTGTTTTCCCCTGACAGCATAAAGTAGCAGATGCCCCTCTGACTTTGTATTTTCAGTCACTCTTGGTTATCAGAACCTTGAGAACAGTTACACAGCTAGACCTGTCTTGGTTTTCAAATTGAAGAATGGTGAACTGTGGTTAATTCAGTCTAGGTCCGTGGACGAAGTTCCTCCACACCTGTATTACAGTGATCTGAAAATAAATCAGGACAGCATGTTTACAAGTGTTGTCTGCCACTGACTCTCAGTCGCAGGGAGCCTCGCTGCGGGACCGCGTGCCCTTGCTCCCCGAGAGGCGGCAGTGGACGGTCCTGTGTGTTTGCCGTGTGCTTGCCTCTGCTGAGGCTGCCGCGGACAGGGAGGTTGTCCCCCGTTTCTGATTTGTTGTGAGAAAGCCGGTAGTTAAAACAATAAAGTTAAGTTTTTGAGGTTCTCCACATCTCTCTTCTAATTCAAACATTTTGCCTCCCCAAGAAATCCAAAGCAAGAGGCAAGAGCGGAAAAGGAGGACGACGGCGAACCCCGTGTACAGCGGAGCCGTCTTTGAGCCCGAGGTACTCCGGCCGGCGCTCGGCCCTCCCCTCTCCGTTCCGGTTTTGGTTACGACTTGGTCGGCACCCCCTGTTCGAAAACCTCCGTAAAGCAGTGCCCTGGTTGTACTCAACCAGCTTTCTGAAATGATGGGGTTTTTTTCTGGCCGATTCCATTATTTCACTTTTATTATTCCTGCTTACCCTTAGATTTTTCATAAGTTTGAACAGATACAAACCTTCCTTAAAAATCTAACTCATCCTGGCTTCATCTCTGCTGTCATCTGAAGCAGAGGCAGAACTCTCTGGAATTTTATCTCAGAGCCAAGTATATATAACAAAACACGTTGGCACTGAGACCCTGGGGTGACTGGCAATAACTGGTCGGGGTGTTGACAGGCATGCTGAGCTTGGTCCTCAGCTTTTGCCAGTATTAGTAGTAACCGTGCTGTCCAGCCAGTCACATTTCCTTCTTCAATCCTCAAAGCGTAAGAAGAGTGCAGTCACATACCTGAATAGTACAATGCATCCTGGGACCCGGAAGAGAGGTGAGTACCTTTTTACATCTCGCCTTTGCTGTTGCCTTTGCTTTCTGTGTTGTGCTTCTTCCCTCTCCCCTCGGACATAGTTTTGTTGTTGTCACTCTCTGAGAATGGGGGGAAAAGTTCTTATTAGAGTTCTGTATACTGAACCAAATGCTGCCTCTCCTGGTAGCAAAGCTGACTCAGGGGAATGGCTTACTGCAGCAGTTCTGCCCCAAACCCACCAGGCCATCCATGACTATAGCACAGTGAACAGAACACTGTGTAAAAGGAAGCTTTTTAACACCGTTGAGCAGAGAACAGCACCGCTGTTGCTCTGAGTGACGTCTAAGTCATCCTGCCGCCAGAGAGGCCAGAGCATCATCACTCTTACGTTTCCGGGAGCTGCAGACTTTCCAGGAAGGGGCGAGGGAGCCACACTGAAAACCTAGTGTCTGTGAGAAGAAAAGGTCACTGTCAAACAGGCTTCCAAAAGCAGAAATGCCTAGAGAGCTCCATCCCCGCACTTGACCTCCCCCGGGCAGGCGGTCCACCTCACGCTCAGGGCAGAGAGACAGCAGCCCCAGCTCTCACTGTGCGGGTCTAAATAGGTCTTAATGGCTCAGGGTTTGAGCTCATAAACAAGGTTCTGAAATTGTTCTTTGATGTCAGTAATACATCCCAAGGTCCCTTTCTCCACATGATAATGTGTCCCTGAATTATAGTTTCAAGCTAGAAAGGTTGCAGAGGGAGTGGAGTAGCATACTAATTTTTGCATATGCACACACAGTCTCAGAGCTACCGGAAGCTGAGGAGGTCATCTTGACCCTTTGTCTGCCTTGGGGAGGACTGCAGCTGCACCACTGCCACCTCCGCCCCAAAGAGCTAGCGTGCCCACCCCTAGTGACCTGTTCTCATGTTGCATCGGCCCCGTCCTTCAAGTGGTCAAAATATTTAGATGAGAAACCCTAAGCCATTGCTTCATATCAGTTCCTGGGCCGCAGTAATCAATGTCATAGGTTCTTTTGTGGTGTTTTGTTTTGTTCTGAGTGATTTTTAGAAGCCCCAGTCAGAAGCCACAGTTTATTGGCCTGCTGGTGGGCTGTGTCTGCTACAAGGACAGGGGTTAAATGAGCCAGAAAGACCTTGGCATCTCATGCCAAGGTCAGAGGATGAAAGCCTGCATTCCAAGTACCTAGGACATGCCTCCAGTGGGTAAACGAAGAGCATTCATCTTCCACTTCTCCTCCTCCCAGCACTGAACTCCCCAGAAGAGGCGAGCCAGCACGGTCCGCCTCTGCACGGCAGACGTCCCCAGTTCACACACACTTAGGTCGTAAATCATAACTGCTGGCGAAGTCACGACCCTGCGTACGGTCCACCCGTGCTCATAGGCAGTTGTGTACTTCTCTGGCCCCCTTTTTTCCCCTTTGGTGTTCCAGGCATACACCTTTGTTCACGCACAGCTTACAAGCTGTGAGCCTGGCCTTAGAAGACAGGACCCTCTCAGGCAAGAGTGGTTGGCCTGGACTTTCCACACCCATTAGGGTTCGTTTGTCAATACGCTGTGGCCATGAAGTCTGATTCACAGTACTCTTGCTCAGATCAGGTCTCTCAGTCGGCAGTGCTGCTGACAACAGCCTTTCCCGGGACGGGGAACAGTCCCGGTTCTTAGACACGCCATTCACCACGTCAGTCACCAGAATGTGGTGGAACTCGGGGAGGCAGTTCAGGGTCAGCGGGGGAGGACACCCAAGTCCAGACGTGCTTCAGCTCATACTTAGCTCAGGACATCTTTTTAGTTCTTCGGTCCCAGCTACTCCTAGGATGGATCTCTCACTAGCTCTACCAGCAAGGGGTAAGAATAGTTAACTTGAATTTTGTCTCCTTGCTTCACCTTTCTGCATCCGTATAAGCAGTGAAATGACCGAAAAATAGGCAGGAGAGAAAAGGAAAAGCAGAAACCCTAAATAAATTTGTTTGAGGGAACTGAGGATCATTATTATTGTAAGAATGACAGTTTCAGAGAAACATTAGAGAACAACATACAGAAGACATGGGAATTCTTATTCCTGGCCTCGGCTCCCAGGGAGCTTTGGTTCTCACAGGGGAAATCTCAAACTGCAGCAGTCCTGGAGAGTCTCTGTTATCTGCCCAAGGCAAGGCCCATCCACACGACCCAGCCCCTCCTGTCATTCATTCTCCACGCTCTCTCTTACCCTCCCTTCTTTTGAGACTCTTGCAGTTGTTTCTAATGACATTGAAATCTTTGCTTCTCTTCCTCTCTTTGGGACTGTTGTATTAACCTCTGTCTGCTACCTCACTTCCTTTTCCATGCTAGCCAATGAGGAACACTGGCCAAAGGTATGTAAGATCATGTTTCCCCCTTTCTTTCCCTCCCCCTTTTCCCCTTTTGTTCCCTTCTCTTGGTATATAGGTCGTCCTCCAAAATACAATGCAGTGCTGGGGTTTGGAGCCCTTACCCCAACATCCCCCCCATCCAGTCATCCTGACTCCCCTGAAAATGAAAAGACAGAGACCACATTCACTTTCCCTGCACCTGTCCAGCCTGTGTCCCTGCCCAGCCCCACCTCCACAGACGTAAGTAACTCGGGAAAAGCTCACTGTCTTTCTGAGAGCTCCAGTCGGGGAAACTGGTGTCCTGTGTTGTCTCCTCACCAGCTGCATCTCCTTGACTAACCCTGGGACAGCAGGAACCCCCACAGGACACCGTGCGCCAGTAAGGCCGCTACTGCAGGGGCCCCGGGCCCTGCTGTGTCCTTGAGATCATGTGAAACACAACATCAGGAGGCTCAGTCGGAGCATTCAGAGTCCGGTTTCATGTGCTGTGAATGAGTTCTCAGGAAGGAGGATGGGGCGGGCAGGCAGCTCCTATCATGGAAAGGCTGCCATCGTCCGCGTTTGGAGGGGGGAGGTGAACAAGCCGCGTGTTCCCCTAGCGGTTGTTGCTTCCTGCTTCAAGTAGGATTCAAGAAATGGAAGACTCTCTAAAGCAGCTCTCTTCAGCCGAGTTGGTTAGAACCAGATTCCAGAAGAAGTGTCAAATACTTAGTGGTCTTTCACCCAGAAAGTGCAGGAATGTCAGCTAGTGCCCTGAGTTGTTAGATGAGCATTTACAAAGCAGCGAATTCAGTCAACAAACACTCATTGAGCATTGCTCTGCAGCAAGCACTGTTCTTGGGGCTGGGGACAGAGAAGAGAACAAAACCAGCTCCCTGCCCCCAGGGAGTTTGTATTTCATGGCCAGAGGCAGGTGATAAGCAAATGAAGGTGTACGTCAGGGAGTAAGAATGCTGCGAAAAAATGGGACAGACAAGGGGCATAAGCAGTTATGGCAAGAGGTTGCTCTTTTATGAAGAATGCTAAGAAACCGCTCTGATAGGAGAGGGAGTACAGCAGGGAAGAGCATTCCATGCAGAGGGAACAGCAGCGCCAAAGCCCTGAGGTAGAGATGTACATGGCGTGGAAGCAAAGAGGCCAGGACAGCTGGGGTGGTAGGAGATGAGACCCCAGGGTGTTTTGAGTAAAAGTGTGATGTAATTTAACTTTTTATTTTGAAAAGTTTCAAACCTACAAAACAGCTGCAGTAACAACACAAGAAGCCAATGTATACCCTTCACTTAGATGGACCGGTTGTTACTGTTTGGTCACAGACTTCTTCCCCATCCCCCCCACAACACACATTAACACACACGCACACAGAGGCATATGCACACTCATGCACACACATGAACACACCTACACTCTTTTTTGAACTAATTAAAAAGATACTGCAGACGTCATGAATCTTCACTCAGAAATACTTTATATCTCCTAAGAATAAAGATACTTTCTGATATAGATAGCCACAATGCAAATTGGGAAACTTTAGTATTGGTAAAATGTTGTTACATGGTGTATAGTTTGCACTCAGATTTCTCCTTTTGGCTCAGTTATTTCCATTATTGTCTTAGTGGCACTTTCTTATTTCTGCTCCAGGATCCAACCCAAGATCACTCTTGACATTTATTGTCTCTGTAGTCTCTGTACTCTGGAACAGTTTCTCAGCCGTTCTTTTGTCTCCTGTGATGCTGACATTTTTAAAAAGACAGGCCAGTCGCTGTGTAGAGCACCCTCCTCCATCCCCCGTCTGGAGGGACAGAGTGGATTTGAGGCGTGCATCTTTGCAGGGACACTACATACGTGGTGGCGCGTCGTCCTCAGTGCATGGCAGCAGAGGCACGTGTTGTCAGCCTGCCCTGTTGTTGGTGATGTTAACGTTTCCTCTCTTAAAATAGATCCCGTCAGGTTTCTCCACCTGTGCAGGCACCTGCTCCCTCCGGGGAAGGCAGCTTTGAGTCTGAGCGCATGCCCCTTCCCCAATGAACCGTTACCCAGGGGTTTAGTACCCTTTGATTGTTCTTGCCTGCATGTGTTAGCTTAAGGTGTTTGCAGAACTGGTCTGGACTTTGAAAGGATCGCTGTGTGGGATCCGGAGAAGAGACTGCGGGGAGGAAGGCCGGAAGCAGGGAGACCAGTGGGGAGGCTCTGCGGTCGCCCGAGCAGAGCGGGTGCTAGCTTGGCCCAACAGGGCGGCAGCAGTAGAGGTGGAGAAGAGTGATGGAGCCTGCATCTGCTCTGGAAAGCCAGCAGGATTAGATAGTGGGGCATGACGAAGAGAACAGTCGAGGGCAAACAGTGAATGGCTGAAGCTGCCATTTATTGGAGGTGATAAGAGGAGTGGCTTTGACGTGCCCCATTTCTTTTGTGAATCGCAGAGCTTGTCTTAAGGGTCACCTTCAGGTAAAATGTCCGTTCAGTGTGCAGGTTCTTAGTAAAGGTCTACCCCTCTCCAAAGAGCAAAAGAGCGCCATGTGCACATTCTAAGTTAAAATTCCAGAAACAGCGAAGAAAGTGTCCTGTTGGGAGGACCAGGGTCATGAAGAGTCTGTCCTCTGACAGGCTTCCTTCCTTTAACACGGTTGGTGGCCGTAGACCATCCCTGGCTCTCAGGCTTCAGCGTTTTCACCCAGCTTCCTGACTTTCAGCATTAGTAATTGACTCAGGTCTCCTCCACCTGTCCTGTTAACCAGCACCTGGCGTCCCTGTGACCTGTTTGGTGGCACCAAAGCTTGTCCCAGCTCCTTCTCAGTGACAGCATTGCCAAGGGCCCGGCAGCTCAGAGCATCTGGGCGGGGCGCCCCCCCAAGGTGGCGCGGTGCTGGGGACAAACGGGTCTTCGGTTCTGCTTGTGCGTCTCTCCCTGAAACAATGTTGTTTTTATTTCCTGCGATTTTTGGCTGAGGGGTTTTATAAAATGGTTTTCTTGAAAGGATCCGCTCAGATCCAATCACGGACTAAAAGCTTCTGCCGGGTTTTGTGTTAAAATGCAAATACCATTCTTTCTAGAAATCTAAAGGTAAAAGGAAACTTTTCTAAAACCACCAAATAGGTTGGTGACTTCCTAGGTTAAACCTAGTGGAATGGATTCTTTAAAAACGGTAATTGACTTCTACTTTTACAGTATCCAGCGGCGGCTGTTATTAAAACTGACACACGGGGCTCTGTGTTTTGCTGCGGGGCGGCATAAGCCCCAACAACATTAATTAAACAGCAACAGCTGAGAGGCAGGCATTTCCTGGAGATCAATAACCATCTAGAGGGGCTGCTAATACAAGACTCAGCTGGGCACTGATCCTCAGGATGTACCTTGTTGCCACTATCATCATTTTTATGGGAAGGGAAGATATGTCGACGTAGTTACACGATTTTTTTTTTTTAGCAAATGATGAAGCTGCAGTTGATAGAACCAGGGTGTTTCTAAAAAGCATGTATGTCGTCAGCTCCTAGCAAAGAAGCATGGGTCAGCCACCTTCCTACTTACCAGTTAGTTTATGGTCATGGTTTGGTGAGTCACCAAAGCCCAGGCTGTTTTGGTACAGCACCTCTGTGGGACCCCCTCTGCTCTGTTTAAGCAAAGAACCAATTCTGTGTGGGTGAAATACGTATCTTACCATTTTATGTTCATTTCCGTGGGCAGTAGTGCTCCGGTATGGTCTGGAGGACCCTGAGACTCTTTCAGAGGGTCCGTGAAATCAAAACTGTTTTCCTGTCAGCGCTCCACTGTTCTTCCCCAGTTCCACTCGCATTCTCAGGCGTGGACGGTGGCGTTTCCCAGACCCTGCGCGGCAGGGTGATGGCTGGCAGAGAGCAGCGCTCCGTGGGTCCTGGGGCTTCAGATTTTTCCAGTGCACTATTTTTATAGCTTCCTGTGGTTCTGTAATTATTTCAAAACTGAACATTTTAAAACCTCTAACACAGTAAATATCAATATATATAACCCCCATAAGCAAAAGCTCCTGAGGTCCTTAGTAAATTTAAGAGCGTAATGGGGACCCTGACACTGGAAAGATTAAGAGCTGCTGCGGTGGGCCGTGTGAAGAGGGCAGAAGTCTGTTTTTCTTTCTTCGGCAGAAAAGAAAAGGAATTTTGTAATTTTTATTCTATGTACTTTCCGCCCTCCACTTCTCGATGTTCTCCTGGCTCAGGAGCAGAGGAGAGTGAGCAGCACTCCTTACCCAACCAGCCCCTCTGAACCAAGTGGCCCGTTTGTCCCATGTACATCATCACTGCTAATTTCACCTGTGATGCATGTAAAACACTGCGAAACCCTAGAATTTTTACCAGCTTCCTAAAGATGCAGGCTTACAACGGGGGCTAAGGCTCGAGAAAGACAGCTCTCTGGAGAAGAGCACCCCAGCCCGGTTTTGAGAATGGAGGAGGAGGTCCCGGGTACTGGCGGGGTGAGCCGCTCCCATCGGTGCTGGTGCCGACGGGTGAGCTGCTACCCTGCGTCCTCAGGCAGCGCTTTTGCGTCTGCACTGAGTATCTTTTTCACTGCCCAGAGGTAACGTTTTCTTACTAAGAAAGGTTAAAATCCAACCGCACTCTGATGATCTTACAACTTTCTCAGCTGGTTTCCTAGGCTGCTGGATACCCTAGTGAATCATAGAGAAAGTTTCCTTTCCTGGAGAGCAATCGTAGGTCTGGGAAGATATGCTCCTTCCGCGGCGGTGGTTGAGGGTTGTCGGCATGGGAAGGCAGACTCCAGCACTGTTGTCTGCACCATCGCTTCCTGGGCAAGGTTTCTGATTTAGGCCTTTTGGCTGGCAGAATAGCCTAGAAACCTAAAACAGCACCTTGGAAGTGAAAAGGAGGAGTCTGGTCCCGCCGGGGCACTGCCTGTGCTGGCTCACCTCTGACACGTCCCTGCCCCCCGGGTCTTCAGCAGCAGCAGCAGCGTTGGTTCTGGTCAGAGAATAGGGCTGGGATTGACCCGCTGAAAAATACCTATTCATTCCCTCTTTTCCTTCTTCAGTGTTCTCTCCAAATTTTAAATAGACTTGCTTCTCACGGTGCCTTCTGTTCAGATGGCTCCAGCAGACTTACCTGAGCGCGCGCACCCGCTGAGCGGGTCGGGCAGGCGGAGCGCGCTGAGGCGCTCTTCTCCGAGCACCTGGTGCAGTCGGTGGCTGGGCGGGCCGCAGCTGCCCGGAATAGAACGGTCCGTTGAACGGCAAATGCCCAACCCTGGTTTTAAGAGAGAACATTGTCAGCTGTTGTCTTGGCTTTTAAATCCTTCATATTAGAAAGCTTATATAAGTTTAATTGGCCCCTGACTTAATCTTTCCCCATTTGAAATTTCACTGTATTTTTTCTCCCTGAGCAAAGGGTTTAGTAAAATTCCATTTCTTGTCTGTTGTTGTTCCAGTCCTTCTAAATTTCCTCCAGAAACGATAGGTAATGAGAATCGTTTGTGTACTTGTTTTTAGAGCACTTTGGTGGACGGGTTTCAGTGTCTTACACTCTGACTGGGTCAGGCTCCACCAAAACGTAGTAAACGCCTTCACCTGTAGAGTTAACTGTGGCCTGGTGCCCGCAGAGCTCCCCTGTAAAGCCTGCTGGGAAGTTTAGAAGTCTGCCCCTGCGCAGGGAACCTCGGCTGTGTGGGGCAGGCGGGGCTTGTGCCATTTGTGCTTCTCCTGAGTGCCCGTGGAACTCGCGGGGGGGCAGAGCGGATTGTCCTGAAGCAGGTGTACGTGCCCAGAATGTCCATGCTAGTGTGCACACTTGGCCTTTTTGTCCTCTCTCTTACCTTTCTTCTCAATTCCGTAGGGTGATATCCACGAGGACTTCTGCAGCGTTTGCAGAAAAAGCGGCCAGTTGCTGATGTGCGACACTTGCTCCCGTGTGTACCATCTGGACTGCTTAGACCCGCCTCTGAAGACGATCCCCAAGGGCATGTGGATCTGTCCCCGATGCCAGGACCAGGTACTGGGAGGGCCAGGCGGGGCGTGGGGCCGAGGAGGAGAGGGACGGTGCAGTCAGGAGGGCTTCCCTTTCCCTCTGAGCTGGGGAGTGGCGCCTCTGCCCCCCGAGGTTTTCTGCCCTCCGTGTACAAGTGGAGACACTCTGCTTCCCTTTATTTGAAAAGAGTTACCTTCCCGTTACCTTGGCCCTTAAAAGTCTATAAGACTTTGTGCTTCATTCTCTTAAGAATGGGCCAAACCTAGTATATGGTTTGGAGACTGTTTTGAAAATAAAACTCTTCAGTGACAGTGCTCAGTTGATTGTTTCATTCAGATAACAAGTGGCACTTTTAGCCCGTGTCGCCATCAGGATCAGAGAGCTGACTGCAAAGTGCTGTCTCAGTATTTCATGGGCTCGGAAGGCAAACGTAGAATCTTGCGATGCTTAGCGAAAGGGATACATTCTGGGAAATGTCATTAGGTGGCTTTCGTCACGAGCACATCACAGAGTGCACTTACACGCACCCGGCTGTGCCGCACACCCAGGCTGTGTGGCGTGGCCGCTCCTCCCAGGCTACAGGCTGCAGCACATCACTGTATAAAACAACGTGAGGCCAAATCGAGCACAGGAGAAAACGGTGCAACCGAGAGACGTGGCCACCACGAGATGTACGAGGCTGCTGGCGGCATAACACGGTGCACTGCTTTACAGCGAACTTCTCGTTTTTAAGAGATAGAAGTGTACACTCTAAAATAACAATAAATAATAGAGCAAATACATAAACAGCAACATAGTCATTATCAAGCATCATGTACTGTACATACATGGATGTGCTTTACTTTTGTATGGCTGGCAGTGCAGTAGGTTGGTCACACCAGCAGCACCGCAGGAGTGTGTGTTCAATGATGCTACCACAGCTGTGACGTCACTAGGCAATAGGAATGTGCCGGCTCCATCAGACCCTGTGGGACCGCTGAGGTGTACGCGGTCTGCTGTGGGCCAGACAGTGCCGCACATGACTGTACTATTTATTAGCTGTCCCGTCCTCTTCCCCCTTTCTGTTCAGTTTCTGATTTCTCTTTCTCAACTCTCCACGTACATTAAGGTTTTCATTATAAGTGGTCTCAAGTCTTTTCTGGAAGTAGGTAAATTATAAGCAATAAATCAGCAGGCAGTAGCTCAGCAGATGCGGGGACCCTGCTCGGTGCTGTGGAATTCTTTTTCTTTTTTAAGGATAGTCTTTTTTTTTTTTTTTTAAGATTTTATTTATTTATTTTTAGGGAGGGAAGTGGGGAGAGAGAGAGAGAAAGAGAGAGAGAGAGAGAAACATCAATGTGTGGTTGCTGAGGGTTATGGCCTGCAACCCAGGAATGTACCCTAGCTGGGAATCGAACCTGGGACACTTTGGTTCCCAGCCCGCGCTCAATCCACTGAGCTACACCAGCCAGGGCTTGTGGAATTCTGATTGGAGAGGATGCTGGGTTTCCCCTCTCGATCTTCCTCCTCTCCCCGCTGTCTCCTGGGTGTAGGCAGCAGAGACAGTTCTCTCTGTTCTCTCCCGGTTGCTGCCTCGCAACCCTCTGGTCATCTTCCACAGGGGTCTAGATTATACTTTAGTACACAGCTGATACTTAGTTTCCTTGGTCATGCTGTCTTTGAGGGATATGCAAAGCTAAAACTGAGACAGGCGGCCCGTAGCAGGTCAGGGACAACACTGCCGTGGCTGTGGACATCGTGCAGACTCGCAGCTATGCTGGTGGTTCTGGCTGCGGGGAGTCGTTGGGGCCACGCGGCATGTATGAAAAGATACGAATGCCCAGCGAAGTCCCAGCCTCTCTCGCAGCTGGGGCTCAGGTAGCTCGGCTCTTCCTGCTTCATATACCTCATTCTCTCAGGCTGACATCTGGGAGTTTGTAGTCCAGAAACTGCGGACCACGGTTTTGCCACCATAATCATTCCTGGATTTTTGTCTGCCAGTAGCTACAAAAACTTAGTGACACTGTTGCTTGTAATCACACAGTGGACGTGTGTTTATGCCTCCTTCTCAAGGTAAAAGTCTAAAAAATCGTTTCAGATGCTGAAGAAGGAAGAAGCAATTCCGTGGCCCGGAACTTTAGCAATTGTTCATTCCTATATCGCCTACAAAGCAGGTAAAGAGATACCCATAACCCCTTTTGTGTAATCTCCCCTTGTTTAAAAAAAAATTACTCACAGGAAGCATTGCTTTGTTTTCAGAAGGAAATTTAAAGTTAAAAATGAGAAGCTTTTAGTGAATGAAGGGGAAAGTTGTGTAGCGCTTTCTTGGGAAGGAAAAATGGGAAGTAGATTCTGTGCTGGGTAAACCAGGCCCCGGCCCCTGACAGCTTCCTCGGTGCTTGCAGGGTGTGGGGTGCACAGGGTCCGCGCACGGCGGCGGGGCCCAGTCGGTCTGAACACAGTGGCCTTTTCGAGGAATTTATTGTTAAAAACAGTTCCCCCATTTTTTTCAGCAAAAGAAGAAGAGAAACAGAAGTTACTTAAATGGAGTTCAGATTTAAAACAAGAAAGAGAACAACTAGAGCAGAAGGTGAAACAGCTCAGCAATTCTATAAGTGTAAGTGACCTCCTGGCTTCAGTGACAAATACAAGAAGTGGTAGAACTTCCTCTGTAAATAACAGTCCGTGTGGCTTCCAAGGCTGGTTCAGATGCTTTATAGCTGATTAACACAATCACCTTGGGCAGATACAAAGTTTGCCTCTAGGTAGCGTTGGCTCTCGGGCACTGGAGCCCGGGGGCTAAATATGGTGCCTCAGCCAAGCTCTGGAACATCCTCCTGGTGTCGGTCCGAGAGCGAGAATTTTCCGTCTCCCGGCCGAAGAGGCAGGTGGGCAGCGACAACAGTGTAGCCGCCACGCCAGTGCGTTCCTGAGCGTGTTCGGGAGGAGTGTGGAGCCTCGCCTGGCCCTGGGCAGACACAGACCAGGTCCCTGCACACGCGCCTTTCGGGTCGCCCTAGCTCGTGCGTCCATCCACATGGCCCTTCCCTCCCACCCTCTCTTCTACACGGTGCTGTGTGCATTTCCAGGTTTTCCTGATGGGCCTGAGGAAGAGGGGATTCTAGAGACGAGTACGGAAGTAAATACTGTCCAGGCAGGGGAGAGAGCTGTATTTGTAACAGGGATCCAGGGGCTCCTCCCAGCAGGAGCAAGTTCTTTTCCATTGTGTAGGTGCCCCTTGTTGGAGTGAGGTGGCCTCAGTCCTCACAGACACTAGGAGGTGTCCTGGATTTGGCGACAGTTCAGCTGTCCTCTCACCTGCTTTCCCTCCCCACCACGCAGGTTTCCCGTCTCTTTCCCTGCCCAGAGCAGGAGCCAACGGGTGTGAGGGGCTGAATGCTAAAGACTAGTGGCCGAGCAGAAGGGGTTCTGTGGGCTGGGGTGTGATTCCAAGCACCTCTGTCCTGCCCCGGGCTCTGCCTCTGAGTTCTTGCTGCCCGAGTGCTCCTTGCCGCCCCTGGCTTGTTTCCTAGTCCAGGAAGCCCAGTCTGGTCCTGAGTCTGTTAGCGCCCATCAGCACGGTGGAAACAACTGCCAAAGCAGCTTCAGCACAGCTGTGGGAACTCTGGTTTTCAAACGACTTAATTTTGTAGTATTAGAATGGGAATTCGCCTTTGGTCTTAAGTCCTAGTGTCAAGTACATTTGGCTTTTAAACCACTCGCTTGCCCTCTCTCTCTTGCCTCCGGAGCCTCCCCCTTCCTTGGGCAGTAGCACCCGCCCCAGTGTGGAGAGCAGGGCTAGGGGCTGCATGCTAGCCAGTGAGGGTCCTCCACCCCGCAGAGCTGGCAGGCCAGTCCGCACAGTGCAGGCTCAGTGCGCCGCCCTTCTCGTTGCTGCAGAAATGCATGGAAATGAAGAACAGCATCCTGGCCCGACAGAAGGAGATGCACAGCTCCCTGGAGAAGGTAAAACAGCTGATCCGCCTCATCCATGGCATCGACCTCTCCAGACCTGTAGACTCTGAGGCCACTGTGGGGGCCATCTCCAACGGCCCGGACTGCACCCCCCCTGCCAGTGCTGCCACCTCCACGCCGGCCCCCTCCCCCTCCTCTCAGAGCTGCACAGCGAACTGTAATCAGGGGGAAGAGACTAAATAACAGAGCCCTGCTAGGAGAAGCCACGGGATCCCGGCGGCGAGGAGAGAAAAACACTGAAGACTCTAGAAAAGCAAAGCCGGATTTCTTCTGGAAAGTACGGAATTCTTTTGGTTCTTTGGTTCCAGAGAGAGAGAAGATGCTTGTGCCAGGTGGCACCAGAGTTTGCCAATTGATCCTTCTTATTCTGTGTGTACATGCAAAGATTGGACCATGTTACATGAAATAGTGCCAGCTGGAGGTTTTTTGCCAGCACCATGCCAAGTGAAATAATATATTTACTCTCTCTATTATACACCAGTGTGTGCCTGCAGCAGCCTCCACAGCCACCGTGGGTTTGTTTTTGCTTCGTTGGGCGGGGAGCAGGGACGGGCGGAGGGAGGAGAGCAGGTTTCAGATCCTTGTTTGCCGAGCCGTTCGTTTAGGTAGAGAAGACAAGTCCAAAGAGTGTGTGGGCTTTTCCTGTTTCTAAACTTTCACTACTATAAAACCAAAAAAAGAAAATCGAGATTTAACCAACCCCAGTGCCCGGAGGAGGGGTGGGGAGGGGAGGGGAGGGAGCCGGGGTGGGAAAAGTATATCAAACAAGCAGTATTTCTCATTGTCTGTGGCGGCCCCAGCGTGCGGAGAGGGGGGCACCAAGGACCGCGGCCGGTTCTTCTCCCCAGCGCCCCGCCGCCCCCCAGGTTCCCCGCTTGGGCAGATCGGTGCGCGTAGGTGGGAGATGGGGTCCTTCCCTCCCCGAGAACGAGCAGAGCCCGGCCCGGCGGCCCCTGCCCAGGGCGGGGAGGAAGAAGGGTGTGTCGAGGAAGGAAAAAAGGTGGATCGGTGATTTTACTTGAAAACAAGCTCCATCCCTTTTCTATATTTATAAGAAGGAAGATCCCGAGCGAAGCAGCACGCGACCCGGGTGTGTGTGAACTGAATGGAGACATTTCTTTCTTTTTTCTTTTTTCCCAATTTTTGTTTTTGTTCTTTTTTCCTTTCAAAACAAAAGTTTTATTTTGTCGTCTATTTTACTTTTTTGGTAACAAAAACTAAAATAAGGAATAGCAAAGCTGTTTTTCAGGCTGACAGTCCAATTAAGGTAGTCGAGACCTTGCATGGTAGAATAGGAGCCATAGTGTCAGTGAGGTCCAGTGAGTCCGTGTGAGTCCTTGTGTCATCGTTCGGGGCACTGTTTTTTTTTATGCAAGGGCAAAATCTTTGTATCTGGGGGAAAAAAAACACAACTTTTTTTTTTAATTAAAAAAGAAAAATAAAAGATATTGAGGTCTTCCTAGTGTTACTTAAATTAAGATCAAGGTAAGAAACATTGTAAAAAAAATTACAAAAGTGCTATTTGTTTCCTAAAAACAGTGATTTCTATTAAAAAGGTGTCAGAACTGGAGAAAATGCTGTGTAGTTATAATTTTTTAGCACAGAACCTGCTGATCATGATGACATTTTGCTGCGTTTGTATCTCGAGACTGTGGGGCTCGTCTCCATGATCTCTGACCGCGGACGGCGGCCGGCCGCAGCCCTGCCAGGCAGGGCGGGGCTCCCCTGCCGGTCCCCCCTCAGAAAGACCGCCCTCTCTTCTCGGTGCAGGGGTCTGGGCTTCTGTTGCTGGAGCCCAAGCGGAGCGCGGATGGTATCAGGGCCCTACCCACTCTCCCCTCGGATTTTGCTAGAGCAAAAGGCTGGTGCCTACATAAGACCCCTTCCTTTGGTGCTGCTCTTGGTCTTTCAGCCACCAGCATTTGGAGCGCTCGGGGGGACGACTTGGAAGGAAGTGGGCAGTGAGGCTCATTGGCGCCCACGCACCTGCCTGCTGGGAGGGCGCAGGGGGCACGCTGGCTGCATCGGCCCTTGGTGCTTAGGAAGAACAAAGGAATGAGATTTCTTAAGGTTACATGGTGTTTCTCACACAGAGAGCCCCAGGGTGGCCTTGGTGTCTGTCTTGCCTTTGAAGAGAGGTCTGAATTCCCAGCCCCTTGCTCTGCCCGCTGGCTCCAGGCCCCAGAGAGGAGTTGTCTCCGTCTTGCCCACCCACAAGCTTCCCGGGTGACTTTTTGCCGGAATCTCTGTGCGTACCTTGGCTTGGCCCGTCTCCCTCTTCTAGAAAGCAGGCTTGTGAAAGGCTCAGACCACTTCTGTCATCTTGCCTTGTGGGAAATGGCTTTTGTCAGGCGCGTGTCCCTCCCCCCCCCCAGTCCTCTGCCCGTTGTGCCCCTGGCCAGTGGGAGGGGGCAGAGGCTCTGCACCCCGAGCGCTCCCAGCGTGTGTCTCCCCGGCCTGCCCAGTGCCTCCTCACAGCCAGCGTCTAGGAGGGGCAGGGAAGTTCTCGTCAGTTTCCCCCTCACCCAGTTAGACCCAGAGAGACAAAGATGGATCCTGAAAGCAGGTGGGACAGAGAAACACCTCTTGGGTGAAAGGAGTCTCACCTCTACCAGCAGTTGTCATTCATCTCCCCAGGGAGGTGACCAAAGGGCCCTGAGAGTGGCTGCATGGCCCTGAGACCTTGGCTGAGGGGTCGCCTGAGGGGGACAGAGAGGAGCCCCCTTTCTTCACGCAGAAACCAAGGTGCTATGTCTAGCCAGGGAGCTGTGTCTGGTCGGGAGCAGCCGGCAGTGGCGGAAGCCCGGCAGCAGGCCGCAGGCCTGTCTCGGGGTTCTCCCCCTCGACTTGTCTGGGCTGGCAGCCGCCCGGGCCCGGCAGCCAGGGATTGCCAACAGCACGTTCCTTCTTGAGAGAAGTTGGGAAACCAACCATCACTAGAGGCCTTTGCTCAGGAAGGAGCCGCCTGAGGATCTCTGGGTGGGGCGAAGCTGGGAAAGGACCCGTGTGTGGCCTGCTGCTGGGCGCAGGCCCCTCGGACTGTGCCTAGGGCTGGGCTGTAGATTTCTCCTGAAGTGCAGATGGGAGCCATCTGGGGAGTCAGCTAGTAGGGAGTCCAACAATGCAACCCTGCCCCAAACCCACATTCTGGACTCAAATTTCAAAACACCCTACCGCAAAGAAAAAGCCCACTGTTGCCGTCTCCCTTTGCCTCCCTGCCCCACCAAGGGACGCCCCCTCTCCGTCCCCCAGACCTGTGGTGCCTGTGCCCACCTGAGACACACCCTCACGACTCCCACCCCTCCCACTCCTCTCCTCCCCACACCTGAGAGGAGCGGCAGACAAATCAGAGACGGCCTGGCTTTGTAGTCACTCCAGGGGCCGGGCTCTGCTGGTCTGGGTCCAGGAAGCCGCCCACCCGGCCCCTCCCCTCGTGGGGGCCACCGTCAGTCCTGCGGCTCAGGCAGCGCCATGCCCGGGGGAGGGGGGGGGCAGTGAGGTCACACTGCTGTCATCTTCTCATCTTCTCCATCCTTGGCTCACTTTCTTGCCAATGTGGCCTGCGGGTCCTTTCTCTCTCTCTCTCTCTCAGCCTGCCGAGTCTTGTCTCACCTCTGCTGAGCTCATCCGGAGTCCTGCTTGCTTCCTTCCTTCCTTCCACATCAGGCCCTTGGGGCAAAGCTACCGGCTGTACCTGGCAGGGAGCCGAGTGTGGGGCCAAGGCAGCCTCCAGCTGGCACCCTCTGAGGGCCCAGTGTCCCTCCAGAGGGACCACCACTCTGTCCCTGCTGCTGCTTGGCTCAGGCTCCGTGGGGGGCACGAACGGGCACGGCTGCTTGCCCCGAGCTGCTCCCAGGAGGTGGCGTGTTCCCCACTCATCTGTCTCTGCGCGCAGTTGCCTCTCCGCCGGCTCCCACACTGCCTGTCCTGGGGGTGCAGAGCCTCCTCGGGCTCTCACTCCCAACGGGCGGACGCAGCATGCCCTGCGTGGTGTCCTCCCCTCACGCCCTTCTGGGGTGTGGTCTTTCTTACTTATCCAAAGGGCTTCATAGGAGACTTTTACTCCAGGGGCAAAAGTCTCTTCGGATGGTAGGATGGACGGTGGCCCAGGCACGTTTTCCAGGCGCTGAGTTCTCCAGATTCCGAGGCTTCTGTTGTGTGGCAGCAGCCTTGCTCTGTGTGAGTGACTGTGGGTCTCGCCCCCACCCCTGGGCGGGGCGCCCTTGGCAGGTCACAGGAGGCCCATCCTCACCTGACTTAGAGCCATCCTTGGGGTCAGCACCTCGCCAAGAAGGAAGGGGTGGCTTCTGAGACGGCTGGGACTTTCCCACAAATGTGAAGGGGAGGAAGCTGGGAGTCCCCTTTAAAGAGAGAGCAGAGCTCGTGAATCCCATTGGCTCCCTGTTGCCACAAGGCCCTTCTTGAACCCTGAGGACTCCACTGTCCCCCACAGCAGCCTTTGGCCCCTTGCCCCTCCTTCCAGTGTCATCGGGTCCTTGGAGCGAGTAAGCTGCAGCCAGGCAGGACAGGACAGGCAGCCAGAGGTCAGCGAGCTCTGGGCAGAAAGGAGCCGGCCAGCCCCCAACCTGTCTCTCGTCCGCGCCCTCTGTGATTTCAGTCTTGGTAGAACTTGTATTTGGAGTTTTGTGCTTCAAAGTTTTTGTTTTTGTTTGTTTAATTTTTGTTTTGAGGGGGTGGGGGGGATACAGAGCAGCTGATCAATTTGTATTTATTTATTTTAACATTTTACTAAATAAAGCCAAATAAAGTCTCTCAGCCTCATGGTGTTGGGTTTGAGGTGCGGGGCGGGTGGGCGAGAGACACCAGTCCCAGCCTGGGGTGGCGGGGGTAGGAGGGCTGGGTCCTCCTATGACTCCAGAAAGACTCAGGACCTCCAGGCACCTCCCTGGACTCACAGATACCCTTGTACCCCAAACAAAGAAAAACACAAAACAGAGCTTTTAACATTATTTATGAAAAAAGGATGCAGAGTTGAGGATGACGGAACCGGCCCCAAACCAGCTGGGGTGGAGGGACACCAGGGCCCAGGTCTACAAGAGCAGCAAAGGGAGGCTCCCAGGCCCCGCCCCAGATGCTCTAGTGCAGCCCTTCCCAGAGACCTTAAATAATTTAAATAACGGAGAGTGTGAGGGCCAAGGCCAAGGGCTGGGTCGAGCCACACAGGCCCAAGCCCTGGGAGGTCAGGAAGGCCTCAGGGCTGCCGCAGGGCAGTGAGGTATTTGAGGGCAGCAGCCCCGTAGCGGCGGGACAAGTCCTGGTGGAACTCCTCCTTGAGGGCCTGCAGGCAGTCCCGGTAGGTGGTGCTGGAGCGGAAGCAGGAGATGTCAGGGCTTGGGGTGTGTGGCAGGTGGATGGCAAAGGCCTCTGGCAGCACCAGGAGCTCATAGTCCTGCGGGGGTGGGACAGACCAATGGTCAGGGCCCGGGCCGGAGGATGGGGCACAGGCTTATCTGATAGGCTCTAAGAGCCAAAGCCAGGCCAAAGGGCAGATGCTTGCAGTTCTGCAGAACGTGGGACTTCTAGTGGTGCTGCCTAACGGTGCAGTGCGCCACGCTGAGACATAGTGAGCTCCCGGGGCCTGGAGGTATTCAAAGCTGGAGGCAGCAAGGATCCCCCTCACCTGTGCATCCAGCTCCACGATGTGGGCCACCTTGTTCCAGCCAAAGCCCACGAAGCGGGGGTCGTAGCGGGGACAGTCACGCGGCACCACCACATAGGGCTCGTAGTCGGCTGCCCATTGCACGCGGTACGGGGCCTGAGCCTCCCGCCAGCGGGCATAGTCTGTGGGCGTGTGACCCCGAGGCCACTCGTGGTACCTGAGGGCAGGGAGCCAGGCTGAGGCTAGGAGCTCGAGGGTGGTGGGGGCGGGTGTGGGGAACGGGGACAGAGCAGTGGCCTCTCCCACCTGAAGGTGTAGAGAGATCCAGCGTCCAGCAAGGCCAGCAGTTCAGCCTTGGACCTGGGGAAGCTGAAATGGTAGCGCAGGGTCTCGAAGGCGGGCACCACCAGCGCTGCCTTCCGCCCGCCGCCCAGCTGCAGCTGCTCGATGGAGGCCCTGAGGGGAGAGCACTGTGAGCAGGAGGAGGTCTGCCCCCAGCATGGGACCTGGTGACTCTCCAGCTTTCGGTGGGCACAGGGCCCGACGTTCACAGGCCAGGGCCCCCTCCTGCTCGGTGGCAGACAGACTCGAGTGCCTGCTGCGGGAGGGAGGCCCAAACCCTCCCTCTCTTCCGGCAGCCCAGGGGAAGGGTGTGGCCCCCTGCACGGAGGACCCTGAGGCCCAGACAGGAGTGGGCACACAGTCGCCTGGGGTCCGGCAGGTGGCCCCAGCCCTGGGCACACCCACCCACACATGGTTCCTCCGCCTCTCGCCCACCTGAGGTAGTCGTAGAGGGAGTGGGCAGGCAGGAAGTCAATGTCGCTGAGGAAGACGTAAGGCGTGAGGGCCTGGGCCAAGGCCACGTTGCGAATCTGGTTGATGGGGTAGAGGGGCCCCTCACGGTACACCACGTGGTAGGCCACATCCCTCCGGGCGGAGAGCACCGCTGAGGCCTCGACGAAACGCAGGAACTGCTGGGCCTCTGCGTCTGTCAGATACAAGGCCAGGCTCATGGGGCCCGGCCAGTGTCTGCACAGGGCTTCCAGCACCTGCAGCCTGGGGTGAGGGGCGTGGTCAGCCCAGGGAGGGCGGGAGTGCCTCCCAGCCTAGCTGCTGCAGACACCCCTCAAGCACTTACTGAGCTGGTCTTACTTAATCTTCACAGCTACCCCCTAGTGGGTACTTTCTCATTTGTCGGACGAGAAAACTGAGAGCCAGAAGTAGGAAGACTTGCCCATAGTCCTACAACTATGGAGGGGAACTTCCAGGCATCTGATTGATTCCCTTTCCACTGTGTCCAGTGTCTCCAACTTCTGGAACTCCCCAGGCATCAGGCCCTGAGAGTCCTTCCTTCCACCAAATGTAACCTGCCTCTCAAAATGCCCAGTCTCAGCCCCGGCCATGCTCTCTGCGGCTGCCTTCAGCCTCACCGGTCCATGGAGAGCTGGGCCACAAGGGTGACATCGTGGGGCCGGGGGGGTGGTGGCTCGTGAGGCAGGAAAGTGATGTGCACACGGTGCACCAGGAGCTGCTGCTGCCGGAACGCAAGGCAGGCGTCCTCCTCGTCGAGCTGTGCCAGGGCCCGCTGCAACTGGGGGGGGCGGGGTAGAGGGTGGGAGGACCAGGGCTAGGGCAGGAGGATCAGTCCCCATCCCGGGCTGGGTCGCACCAGAGCAGAGAGGGCCAGAGTCTCCCCAGTGCCAGGGAAGGCTCAGCCTCTCACCTGCTCAGCCTCTTGGGGCAGCGGGCTGGGACACCCAAAGAGCTCTCTCCGCAGCAGGTTCCCATCGTACTCCAGGAAGGTCAGGTGGAGGGTGCGGAAGAATTCCACGTGCTTGTTCTTCACACGTAGCTTCTTTGGTGAGTTCCAGTGGATCACCTGGGACCCGGCATGGTGTCAGTGGGGGGATGGGCGCAGGAGTCCCCCAACCTTGGCCCACAACCACCGCTCAGCTCCCCACCTGCCCTCACCTTGATGTCAGCCGCCTCCAGGTAGCAGCGCTCCGCCAGCGTGTGGTCCGACAGCTGCACATTCCAAACGCAGGGCAGGGGCTGCACCAGCCCCGGGTGCCCTTTGATGACAGCATTGAAGATGTCCTGGGCAGACACAGCCGTCTCGCCTTGGCCCTGAGCCTGTGCTCCCCCACTCCCCCCCACCACCACAAGGCTCCCCCAGACCTGGTCAGCCAGGGAGGTGGCGGGCAGGGAGAGGAGCTCCTGTGTAGCCGTCAGCTTCCACATCTGCTCCCAGCCAGCCCGCCGGAGCCGGTCCAGCCACAGGAGGATCACACCTGCCCACAGGGAGAAGTTATCATCCCCACCTGGAACGACCCAGCTCGTGGGGCCAGTGGTCGTGCAGGTGACTTTGGGATGTTTGTTTATTTTTTTGACTTAATGGCATTTTCTGTCAGACATGAGCATGGACAATCCCTGTTAGCACCCAAACCTCCTCGTACAGAACACAGCCATCTTCTCACACTTGGGAATCCCGGGGCTGGTAAAATCCCCATTTAATGGACCAGGAAACGGAGTCACAGGGAGACCAAGTGACTTGGCCCAAGTCATCGGCCACGGTTGGCACTGTTTTCTGGCTCTTCTCCCAGTGTTCTGTCCACAGCACTATTCTTCCTGGGGGGCTTCCTAGTACTCCATGCCCGGCCCAGTCCCTGGAGCCACCCCCCCACCACTGTCCCCACCTGTGTTAAACCCCCGGCCCAAGGCGGGCCAGGGCCTGTGGTTCCTCCAGAGGTTGCCCAGGTACCAGTCGCTCTGGTTCTCCACGAGACCGATCGCCTGCTCGTCTGGGAGGGGAGGGCACGAGGGAGCTGCCTGAGGCTGCCACTGGGCCTCCGCTGAGGTCTAGGCCACAGGGGGGCTTGGGCGGGCCTGGGAGGGGGTTGGCTGGGGCGAGGCCCCAGGCCTCTCACCAGAAAAGTGAGCAAAGAGTGCCCAGAGCTCCGCAATGTCAGAGGCAAAGGTGACGTCGGTGTCTAGGACAACAACACGGGCCAGGTCGGGCGGCAGGACGCCGGGGAGCACTAGCTTCATCAGCCCGTAGAGGCCGGAATAGTGCTTGTTGGGGATCCAGGAGACCTGGGGCTGTGGGCAGGAAGGGCAGGGTCTGAGCTGGCAGAGAAGGGCCTGTGAGCACCGGACCGCACTCAGGGTGACTCGGGGTGGGGGAGAGGGGGTGAGCCCCAGGAGGGGTGAGGGATGTGAGCTTCAGAGGTGTGGCTGAACTGGGGGTTCCCAGCAATGCTGACCTCTCCTCCCCTGGCCCCCTGGCCCTGGGAGGAGGGAGGGGGCTGGGGGCAGGGGCAGCGGGGGGTGCACAAGGGCCAGGGCTCCTGCCTTGAGCTCATCAGCGTCATAGAAGCTGACGCGGACAGCGGGCACCATCCACGTGTGGAAGAGCGTCTCCAGAATATTCCTGGCGACGGCATCAGTCACCAGGTGGAGGTGCAGTGGGTTTTTCCTGTGGGAGGGACAGGGGAGGAAAGCTGGGAAGGCCCAGAGGGAAGCACCTGGGACAGGCCCCACCCCAAGAGGCTCGGAAGTGGAAACACCAACTTTGTGATTCTGCCCAAGACTTTGTTCTGTTCCCCACTCCTGCCCCGCCCCCCCGCCCGTACCTGTAGAAGAGCATGGACTTCACCAGGGTGATTACATCTCGGCTGCTCTTATGTCCTGCACACACGATTGCCACGTGCAAGAGCTGGGGGAGAGACGCTGAGGTTGGCGGCAGCCCCCTTCCGCACCAGATGGTGAGGACACGCGGCTGGGCCGGCCTGGCCTAGGGCAGTGTAGCCCCACCGGCATCCGAGCTAGGGGAGAGTGGTGGGGAGCAGCGGCCCACCTCCGTCATTTCACCGGTGGGGAAACTGAGTCTGGTCCAAAGGGAAGTGCGAACCCGAGACGGCCCTAGCTGGCTGGCCAGGGCCAGAGCTAACACCAGGTGTTACGATTCGATTCCCGTAAGTTCCCAGGTGGCTGGGCTGGGAGGCGCGGCGCCCCCGGGATTCCCGCCACCAGAGGCCACGCACACCTACCTCGCACCTGGGAGGCAGCGGCTGTGGCGGGACGCAGTCCGAATGGTTGTGGCCCCCGTGGTCCACCTGCGGGTCTCCGTCGAGGGCAGCAGCCCCCCGTGGCCGCCCGTCGAGGGGAATGCGTGGCGTCAGCACACAGGGGAAGGCTCCCGGGCGTCCCCGCTCGCGGCGCTCGCACTCCAGATCCTCGCGGAACAGGAAGAATCCAAAAAGCAGCAGCAACAGCAGCAGCGTGGCGGCCCCCAGCGCCCGGGGGCGCCCTCGGGGCAGCATGGCAGGCTGAGGGGGCTGTCAGGGCGGGGCGCGACCCCGGGCTGCGGACTCCATCTCGGGCCCTACGAACCGGGGAGGGAGAGAGGAAGGTCGGCCTTGGGGCGGTGGGGCCCGACGGACGGCCAGAACGCTCCCGCGCTGAGTCGCCACCTCACCTACTCCAGCTGCTTGGGAACTCGGACCTTACTCTTCCAGGAGCCAGCCAGGGTGCGGGAGGGCGGGGGGTGGAGAGGGGTGGAGGCTAGGCCGAACCCGTCTGAGCAGGAGCCGGCCCCGCCCCCAACCTGGGTTCAGGTTTCATCTCTGCTTGGCTGAACCTGAAGGGGAGGGGAGACCCCCAGGGGGAGGGTCTCCGCCCCGCCCCTGCTCCGGCAGCCGACCTTCCCCCTCCAGGGCGGGAGGAACCCAAGAAAGCCGCTGGACTACTGGAGGAAGCGGGGGCCGCCAACGGGAAGGCCTAGTCCCCTCTACCTGCTCTGAGCCCATCCCCCTCTAGATTGCTCCGGGGCCCCATCTCTACGGAACCTGCCTCTGGGGGAGGGGCTGTGACCCTGGGCCTGGATGAAAGAAACTGCCGAAGTAAGGGGACTGGAATGCCAGCCCCGGCGGAGGTCAGGGACACCTGCTCTGGGGACAGGAGGCGGGGACACCTCTGGGGACAGGGGGCGGGGCTGGCGGAGAGCACCTGAGCCCTGCTTTCCACCGTAATACTCTCCTATCCATTCCACCCCTGACTCCGCACCGTCTCCCCTGCTCAGTCCTGGTGGTCTGGCCTGGCCCAGCGGGGGCTGGGACAAAACGGCGTTGTAAGGGTATTCCCTTGCTTAGAAACTGGCAAGAGACCTCAGTGACAGGGGTGACCTGGGCTGCCTGCGTAGGGCCTGGGATCCCCAACCCTTGCCTAGACGGTGTAGATTGTGCCCCGCACTGGCCTGGATCTCTTCCTCCGCTCCCCCACCCCAGCACCCCACTGCAGGCACCAGCCTAACCTCCGCCCCGGGAGGGGGTGGTGGGCGCTGTGGACCATGAAGGGCGGCCACTGTTGAATGAGTGTGTATGTTTGGTGCCAGGCCCCGTGCTGTGTGGCTGCACAAACTTCGTCGCCGCTAACCCTCACGTCAGTCCTGTGACACAGGCGTTACCCTCCACCAGGGGTGTGGAAGTGACCTGTTAGGACACCCGGAGGCTTCTTCCCCAGGCTCTACTCCGCAGGCAGTTTCCTGCCACTCCTCCCTGAGGGTTTCCCACCCCAGGATTCGCCCGAGGTGTTCCTTCTGCCTGGATTCTGCCAGATTCTCACAAAGCCTGCACCTCCTTCCACATCCCTAGGCTTATTTTCTTCCTCTCTTGAAATTCGACCTTGTCAACTTGTTGATAACCTGTCTCCCCTCCTAGCAGGTGGCTGCTCATGGGACTGGGTCCCCAGCACCCAGTCAGGGCCTGGCACAAACCAAGCGCTCAGTAGGTTTGTGCTGATGGGTGGTTACTTTCTGGACCCACCATGGCATATAATACGCACCCCACTTCTTTATCCATTCGTTTGTTGATGGACCCAAAGTTTGCTCCCATGTCTCGGCTAGTGTACATAACGCTGCAATGAACATAAGGACGCGCATGTCTTCTCCATTTGATGTTTGTTGTTTCTTCACATAAAATACCCAGAAGTGAAATTGCTGGGTCCTTGTCTCTTGTAATACAGCTATTGTTTTAAAGTCTGTTTTGTCTGGTAGAAATATTGCTCCCTGAGCTTTTGTTTGTTTGTTTCCACTTCATTTAATATTTGTTTTCATCCCTTAAAAAAATAAATTTGTGCTGAAAGTGGATAGAACCCACTGGGCCTCACCCTGACATGGAAAAGGCTGGGTCTTTTAGCCCAACATCCAGCTATAAAAAATGAGGGTCCGAGAGTCCCCTAAGCTCCCAAAAACCTGTGGCAAAGCACCCCAGCCTAAGACCCTCAGGTCTCCTCCTCTGAGAATCCAGGATGCCTTTCTCGGGGAGATGGAGGTCTGCAAGGAAGGTCGTGCTTTGGGCCTTTGGAAGCCAGGGGCAATGGTTGTCATGGAGACCGATGGTGGCTCCTTGCAACTCCCGGAATTGAGAGGAGATGAGAGGCTGTAAGGGCCACCCAAGCGTCTGGAGCTTTGAGCCTCCAGCGCCACCCCCATCTCTAGCCTGGAGCTGGGGTGGGGGTGGGTCAATCCCTCTGCAAGACCCTCAAAGGAGACTGTCTTCGGTGGGGGTTAAATAGGAGGGAGCAGGTAGGGCACGCAGTCGGGGCCTAGCAAGGGAGTTTGTGGGGGGACCGGGTCAGCACCTGGGTCTGCAGAGCGACTGGTCAGTCACAGTGCTGGTCCCATCCTTTGCTCGAGCTTACCATTCAGGGGGGATGCAGGTGTGAGATGCCTGCTGGTCCTCCAAGAGGCTCTCCTGGGGTATGGAGGAGAAAGGGAGACTCGCCTTTAGATGAGCATAAAATGGGTGCTGGTCTCCTAGGCCTGTGGCCTGGCTTGGCCCAGCTCTGCCCAGGACTTTGCTGTGTGACCTTGAATCAGGCAGGTTCTCTCTCTGGGCCTCAGTGCCTTCATCTGTACCTATTGGACTGGTCTAGCTCTCTTCCCTGTGGCTCAGGGCAGAATTAAGGAGGGGACACCCAGCCCAATCTGCCCAGTGGCCCTTCCAGCCCAACCAGGTGACCGAATACAGGCAGGGACCCAGCAGGGAGGAGCTGCCCTGGGCGCCTCCTGTACACGGCCACTCTTTGTCTCTGGGACTTAATCGAGCCCAGAATCTGGAGAGGAACAGGCAATCTTCCTGTAGTCAACCAAGCTGGGCCTGTAATCCCCTCCCAGTCCTGGAAGGAGACAAGAGAAACAGGGTCAACCCAAGAACCGCTCAAATTCTGCTCCGGGGCCTCCACTTCTGTTCTCCTTGCCTCTCTCCTTCCTAGAAGCACAGGATTACGAGCGCTGGGAGTGCCAGACACATCACTCTCCCTCCTGACTCCTTCCACAGCCGCAGAGGGAAGGGGTGGAGGCCTGCCCATTGGTGAGGTTTGGGGAACAAGTTCATTTAGATGGTGGGCTACAGGGAGAAAGAGCCTCACACCCAGGGCATTCCCTGAGCCCTGGTCTTAATTTGGTCTCAGTTGCTAACTTGACTCATGACCAAATGGCCTCAACATGTCACTGCTGTCCCTGGGCTGAGGGCAGTAGGGGTGAGAGCACTGGCACCAGAGACCTGCATTGAGGTCCTTTTGGCAATGCCATGCTTCGTGACCTCTGGTCACGCCCTCCTTGGGCTTTTATTCTCCATCTGTGGAAAGGAGTTTCTTGCAACAGGGCAACGTTGCTAAGAAGACGGTGAGTGAGCCTGGCACTGAGGTGGGAAGTGGGGTGAGAAACGGTGCTGGTGAAGCCTTGCCCACCTCCTGTGTCTCCAAGACCTTTGCCTCTCCAGAGGGTCCTGGATCTGTCTCCCTGTCTTCATTCTTGGCCTCTGGAGTAGGCCAGGCAGCTGCAATTCCCCCCGGATATAGAAGAAAACTAGACTGGGGGGGAGGCTCGGGGAAGGGAGTGCAAGGACGGATTGAGGCTTTCTGGTGAGGTGTGTTGCTTAAAACACCTAGACTCTGTGGTCAGACTAGACCAGGATTCAAATGTCGACAGGGTTCTTAAAAAAGACCCTTTCCGTGTGCACTGTCGGGATTCGAACTGCCCGGCGCATGCCCCGCCTCCTCCTCCACAACGAATGGCTGCACCGGAGCATCTCTGTTCCCTCCGCCTCTGGCTTCTTTTCTCCCGTCGCTGCCTCTTCCAAGGAGGCTGCCCTGTTTGGGATGGGATCCCCAGGGCTCGCCCCCAGCCCTTGAGTAGCAGCTGAGGACCAGGAGGTGCATCCGAGGGCCAAAAACCGCTTTGAGATTGATTCCAAGTTAAAGCACCAAGTCTGCCCTCAAACCATTACAGATGAGAAAACCCGAGGCCCAGAGGAAGAGGGAGTGCAGGTGCGCGCTCTTGGTGGGCAAAGTCCTAGCAAGAGCTGGGGCCGAAGCCGAGGCACTAACGGTGCTGGCAGGGGGATCAAGCCTGCGTAGCATAGTGGACCTCTCGCTGCCTCAGTTTCCCCAGCACCACCGGTGGGGGTGGGAGACGAAACTGGCCATAAGCGCGCCTGCCGAGATACATTCCGACTGTTTTTAGACTATCTGGGCGCCTCCTCGAGGCTAATGGAGGCTCCTTTCTGCGAACTACCTCCCAGCCCTTTAAAATACCCTCCTCTCGTTGGAACCGCTCGGCATTCTACTGCACAGACTCTAGGTTTCCGAACTCTTCCCTGGAATGTACAACTCCGACTGCCCCGGAGCATTCCTGGAGCTGTAACTGCGCAGCCGCAAGGGCAGCCAACCGGAAAGGCGGAAAGGCCAGTGTGGAGTGTGTTAACCAATGATCTGAAGGAGTAGGGAGGGCGGGATTAGCCCCTCGGTTGCTAGGCGCTACCCTGGTGGGAGGTGTTATAAGAAATGGGGTGATGGGGGGTTCAATGGCCCTTCACGTCACCGTCTTTCTGGACCGCGGAAGTTAAGCAATGGAGAGGCGGGCCTAGGACCGGAAGCAGGAAGGAGGGCGCAGGAAGCTGGGCACCGCAACCACTCGTACTGTCTGTCGGTCAGTGGGTCTGTCGGCCCACAGGGCAGGATGGAGAAGCTGCGGCTCCTGGGCCTGCGCTACCAGGAGTATGTGACTCGTCACCCGGCCGCCACGGCCCAGCTGGAGACGGCAGTGCGGGGTCTCAGTTACCTGCTGGCAGGTGCCACCCCGACCTTTGACCCATCCCTTCGGGGCTCTGACCCCTGACCCCACTGGTCCCTTTCCTTCCAGAGTCAGGGTAGTGACCATTGTGTTTGAGAAGTTCCTTCCAGGTTCCCGTAGGGCGTAGGGAGGGGACATCCAGGGACCCAAGACGCCCGGTGAGAACGCTCACAGATGCCTCCTTCTGTGCCTTTTTAGGTCGTTTCGCCGATTCGCACGAGCTGTCAGAGCTGGGTGAGCTGGGCTCTGGGGTGGGTGGAGGCGGGGCGGGCCCCGGAGGGCTTCCCAGAGGGGTGACCACCCCAGATCGCAGCCCTGGGCTTCCTGTTAGATCATCCTGTGTTGTGACTGAATCGGACAAAGCTCCAGCGTCCACTCTCAGGAGCCCTCTATGCCCCAGAGTTGAGAAAGAAGTCTGCCGGTCTTGACTGGTCAGAGGCTGAGCCAAGGGCTTTCCCTGCCTTTGCCCGGTTAATCCTCTCTACAGCCATATGAGGTGGCTACTGTTGTCCTTGGTGTCCAGTTAAGGGAACAGAAGTTCAGTGAGGTTAGGGAACAGCCACTGATGATCTCGGAACCTGGGTTCAAATCCAGATCTCCCAGATTCCAGGATCCTGGGACTGTAACTTACTCTGTAGTGTTGCTTAGTGAGTATTGGAGGTGACATCCCTGAAAGGATGAACTGGGTTTTGAAAGGTGGAAATGAAATAGACTTTCAGGGATAGGCTGCAGAGAAAGCAGAGGCCCAGAGGTGAAACCACACATCTGTGGCTATTTGAAGCACAGTGGGCCGTTCTGGGCTGGTTTGCCACTGAGATCAAACCATTCTTTCCCGTTCCACCCACCCACGTGAGATCATATTGGGGAGAGTGGAGCTCTGGAGAAGTGGACAGGGAGGTGGGTTGGTTTCCACATAATCTGTGGATGGCTGATCCATGCAGCTCTGGGGAGAAGGTGAAGGGGCGGAGGCTGCAGAGCCTGCCTCAAGGCCACCCTCTGCCCCTCAGTGTACTCTGCCTCTAACCTGCTGGTGTTGCTCAATGATGGGATCCTACGGAAGGAGCTTCAGAAAAAGCTGCCAGTGGTGAGAATTCTGCCCGGAACTGAGGGCGGGAAGCACAGGGACTCGGGAAAGACACAGTAACAGCCAGCCTGTGTGTTAGCACAGGTTATGGTCTCAGAATAGGAGACATGCCTATATCCACATGAGCCTCCGTCATCTCATTAGGTGAAACGTCAAGGTGTCAGTGTCTCCGTCTCAGATGAAGAGACTGAGTTTCAGGAACACGGAGTAGCCTACGTGGAGAGCTCAGACCTACCCATTTGGAAAGGGGAAAATCTACCTCTCTTGTCAGAGGAGTCCCCTTGGGGAGGGCCTGGGGCGAGGGGATGCCCCTTGACCTCTTGGCCTGGGGTTCTTGCAGTCGCTGTCCCAGCAGAAGCTGTTGACGTGGCTGAGCGTGCTGGAATGCGTGGAGGTGTTCATGGAGATGGGGGCCGCCAAGGTGTGGGGCGAAGTGGGCCGCTGGCTCGTCATCGCCCTCATTCAGCTGGCCAAGTATGTCGGGACTGTCGAGGGCCTTGGGTGGGGGCAGTCAAGGCCAACTGTACAGAGGGAAGGGGACACCTGTGCCAGCTAGTCACCTTCCCCCAGCTCTGCCATACCCCCAATCCAGGGCGGTCCTGCGAATGCTGCTGCTCGTCTGGTTCAAGGCTGGCCTCCAGACCTCGCCCCCCATCGTTCCACTGGACAGAGAGGCCCAGGCATCGCCCCCAGGTGAGCTGCTTCCCTGCTCTCGAGTGGGACTGACATGGGACTCATTTGTGGCTTTAGAGCTGACCAAGTCAATGTTGTCCTCTTATGGAGCACTTTGGTCCCCGCCAACTCACTTGTTCTCGTCACCCTGTATTTTAAAGAGAAGCAACAGAAAGATTAGGTTGGGGCAGAATCGGAATTTGAACTCAGGACTTCTGACATCAGAGTCCTCATCCTTTTTTTGTGGGCCGCACAAAGAGGGGACCGAGCATCAGCAGGAGACAGGGGTCATGCCAACTTTGTCCCTGGGCCTGGCTCTATATTAAGAACCCCAGGGTCATGAGGCAGGACACCCCAAAAATCTGTCCCTTCAGAGCTCTGGGCCCATCACCTGTTGGTCCCTGAGCCTCGCTGTCCTCGCCTTCAGTGGGGGCGGTTCCTCATGGTCGTGTTGAACGCCGAGGACTAGAGGTACAGCCCTTCTGGTGCGGGGTCCCTACATGTGGATGGGCCCTCCCTGCCTTGTTCCAGTCCCTCAGGAGCCTGGGTTCTTGGCTGGTACGTGTGCCACAGGGAATGCTGACCTCTTTTTAGGCCAGGGAGGGTGGCAGAGTGCCCACTGTGGGCAAGTGCCAGGTTGAGCCACAGTCCCTGATACTGTGTCCCTGATTCAGCAGTTGCCATAATACAAGCTCACCCATCCTCCCCTTAGCCCATGAGCGTTCCTTCACTGCACACATACCCTGTGCAGGCTCTGCCGGAAACACACCCTCTGACTGTGTGGCCTTCTGTCTATCCCTGCTAGACGGCGAGCACAGCCACGGCAGCCAGGAGCAGTCATACGTGGGGAAGCGGTCAAACCGAGTGGTGCGAACCCTCCAGAACAGTAAGTATAGGATGTAGCCTTACTGGCTACCTCAGTTCTGAGGTCACTGTGGGCCTAAGGCTCTGGCTGCCATCACCGCCTACCCCAGCCTGGGCCTGGCCGCCCACCCGCCTTTGCGTTCTAGCTCCGTCCCTGCACTCAAGGCACTGGGGAGCCCCGCAGCAGCAGGAACGACGGCAGAAGCGGCACCAGGAGGAGCTGAACGTCACCCCCACTCCGCTGGGGCTGCAGGAGACCATCGCAGAGTCCTTGTACATTGCCCGGCCCCTGCTGCATTGTATCCTTGGCGTGGGGCTACCGCCACTTGGGGGTCGGGGTGACGGGAGTGGACAGGGCGGTCCCTGTGCTGGAGACATCCTTGACGCCTTGGCCGCCAGTGCTCAGCCTGGGCATATGGGGTCAGCGGTCATGGACACCTTGGCTCCTTTCTGGCGTCGTGGATGTGACCAGGTGAGACTGGGCCTGTCTGGGGGCTCCACTCCCTCGGCTGAGCTTTGTGCTGCGGGCCTGGCCTCCTCTGGGTGGGCAGGAGCCCCTTCTCCTGTTGCCGGCCCTAGCAGTGTCCCCTCCTCTCCCCAGTCTGAGCCTCCTGAGCGACAGGAAGGGCCTGAGCCGCAGGGAGCGTCTGGAGCTGCGCCGCCGGACCATCCTGCTCCTGTACTACCTGCTGCGCTCCCCGTTCTACGACCGCTTCTCCGAGTAAGGGCTCTGCAGCGAATGGCGGGGCCCTCCCTCCTTCCCCCCTCCCGGCTTCACTGAGCACCTGCTGGGTACCGTCACTCATTCATTGCATCCAGCCTAGACCTGCCCTCTGACCTCTTGGGCCCAGCAGCCCACGCATGTAGGAGCTGAAGCAGTTATTGGCGGGAGATAGGGCCAGGCCATGGGGGCGGTGGGGGGTTTGGGCCTTCCACACCCTCTAGCTCATTTGCACATTCTCGGCAAATAGTTTGGATTATCCCCACTTCTTATGGGAGGCATTTGAGGTTCAAAGACATTATGCAGCGTAAACAAAGCCACCCAGCTAGCCAGTGGCAGAGCCAGATCCCACATCCATGTCCTCTCCTGGCCTGTCCCTGGCCTTGCCCAGCCCCCACTCTGTCTCCTGTGAGGGTCCAGAGCTCCCAGCCTCAGCCAGACACAGAGAGGCCTGCTGGGGGCACCCGTGGGGGCGGCTCAGGGCCAAGTCTCCCAAGGGCTTGCCAGGATGACGGCCTGAGGCCAGGCTGAGGTCTGAGGGGTCTCCCCTTACAGCAGCTGGGGCCATGAGACAGGCCGGAGGCCCCCAGGAGGCCCCGTGTCGGTTTTTAAAAGTGCACCCCCGAAAGACGGGTGTGAGTTGGAGGGGTGCTTCCTATTACGGCCATGCCGCCTCTGTTTTCGTCTGAGACAGTAGAAAGCAAGCTTATGCCATGTTTAATGCCACCTCAGCGAAACCAACTTGCCTGGCAGTCCCTGCATTCAGATTAGTTTGAAAGCTCATGAGGTGCGAGAGCCAGACCCTGTTCCGTTCCCTAGAGGCGTACAGAACCCCCGACACCCTGCAGTTTGCTCGTGCTTCCCCGAGGGAACATCGCTGCGCCCGGGTCCCATCACCTGCGGGACTTCGTATGGTGGCTGCAGAGGCGGCTCCCCGGGCCGCAGGCCTCCAACTCGGTGCGCTGTCCGCTAACCTGACCAGCCTGGCACCCTCAGAGCAGTGGCCCAGACTGGAAGGGTCTGGAAGCCAGGCAGAGAAATTCCTTGTTGTCCCAGAGGACAGGAGCAGGGTGCAGTCTGAGAAGGCACACCCTTTTTCTCCTTGTCACAGACACAGTGCCAGGCCGCCTTCCAGCTGTGCGCATCCCAGGCCTGCCTGTGGCTGGAGGAGGCAGGGCTGGTGCTATGCCCAGAGCTGTTGTCCTCGGAGCCGGGGTCCGTCCGCCCTCCATAGCTACCGTCTGTCTCTTGATGCCCTGCCTGTGGTCAGGTGGTCGGCGAGGGTGTGCTAGCACCCTTGTTTCCAGGGACCCAGATGCCCCACTCAGCCTGCCCCCCGTTTATCCTCTCGCAGGGCCAGGATCCTCTTCCTGCTCCAGCTGCTGGCAGACCATGTCCCGGGCATTGGCCTGGTCGCAAGTAAGCACGGGGCACCGTGTGATTATTATAGTATCACAGAGCTCATGCATGACCCGGTCCCCCGGACTTTTTTCTCTTTGTCTCCTTGTCGTTTGGTTCTTGGAGAGGGAGCCAGAGGCCAGGTTGGTGGGCAAGAGCTCCTGGACTGGGGCCAGGCTGGCCCGTGGTGGGAGGAGCGTTAGACGTTATCGGGCCACCAGCCTTTCCCTGCCTCAGGGTCCTGGAGTGATAGGGGACTCTCAGGGTGGAGACAGACTGGCAGGGACGGAGCCCCCCAGGGCTGTGTGGAGACTCCACCTCAGCAGAGAGCCTCTGGGCTGTCAGCACCTGCGGCTGGAAAGCCACGTGGCTTCTCCGAGCCTGAGAATCCCCAGTGTCTGTACTTGGGGACAGAGACCGCTGCCGATGCTGCCTCCTGAGGGGCCAGGAGCTGGGGGTCGGGCTCCTGGCTGTGCGGACGTGAGCGGCCGTGGCTGACAGGTGCCCCGGGTGGAGCAGAGTGGAAGTCTGACCCTCGGTCCTGAACTTGTGTCCTCTCTCTCTTTCTCTCTCTCACACGCTCCCACTGCAGGGCCACTCATGGATTACTTGCCCACCTGGCAGAAAATTTATTTCTACAGTTGGGGCTGACAGACACCCTGGGGGTGGGATGCGGGGAGGGGCAGGGTGTGCCTCGGCCTTTCAGTCCTCTGGGCCCCTCCGCCCTAATAAAACTGACTCTGGCCGAAGCCAAGCCTGTGGCCTCTCCGTGCCCACAGCCCTGGGCGCCACCGGGGCCCCTCCGACACCCTCCTGACATTGACCGCACCCTCTGGTGATGGAGCCACCGCGGCTGCACCTCATCACTGGACCAAAAGCCTCTGTTCGGACCAGGACCCACTTCCTCGGCCACAGAAAGCAGGATGTAACCTCGAGCCCAGGAAGCCGCCTGTCGGGGCAGCCCCTGGAGTAAACTGCCTCTCTCTCAGCACTTCCTGTTGACAAGGCGAGCCAGTGGGGCAGTGATGACAGCTGCCTGTGTGTCTTCTGGCCAGAGCCTGTGCCCGCGCCCCTTCCCCCAGCAGGGCCCTGCTGCTTGCCAGCTGCCTGTGAGGGAGTCTGGTGAATGGGGGACCCAGTCAGTGCAGGGTGGTACCTCAAGCCTTGACCTAGTTGAGAGCAAAAGGCCGTTCTCCTTTGGGAAAAGAACGTCAGGCACCAGCCAGTGCTGGGGTGGCTGCTGGGCTGGAAGGAATGGCGGCCTGCGCGGCCTGGGGAGAAAGCGGGGTGCAGGCTCCGCCTGGTCTCTCCCTTTTCTAACCTCTGCCCCACCTCCTGTGCCTGTGAACAGAGCACGGTCTGCCGCTGGTTTCCAGCAGACGGGTGGCCCCTTGGGTTCTGCACTGCTGTCCCCCGAACTTCACCTCCCTGACCCCCAGGTGGAGGGCCCCCCCAGAGGGGCCGGCCTTTCCCTAATGCTTGCCCTGGGTGTCTCTGGGAAGCTGCCAACCCCAGCCCTGGGCTGGGGAGTGAAGGCCCCGAGTTTCAGTGGCCACACCTGGAGGCCCACAGCCGTGTGCTGAGTGAGTGCAGCACAAGGGTGCTCAGCTGGGCGCTCGCTCTGCCGCGGGCTGGGCGCCCTGTGCGTGCATTCAGAAACGAGTGGAGCGAGGTCCTTGCGCCCAGCAGTCCGTTGGAGGAGACAGGCGCGTGAACACATGCAGTCCACGAGGCACTGCAGTGGGCAAAGTGTGTGCAGAAAGGAGTTTAGGCCTGGGGTGGGAGCGTGGGTGCGTTCCAGCTCAGGCTGACACCTGGGGAAGGCCCGCTGGCCAAGGAAGCCTCCATTCAAGCAGGTAAAACGTGGGTTCTCTGATGGCCAGACTGGGAGAGGAGGACTAGTGGGTAGAAAACTGCACAGGTGGTGTCGGCGGCATGAAGCCAGCGCTGGGGCAGGAGGCGGCAGAGGGCGGGAGCGGGATGAGGCTGGGGGGGTGGGGAGGTCAGAGCCAAAGCCAACAGGCCGTCTCATACCAGGTGAGAAGCTGGGACCCACCTGTGGGAGGCAGTGGGGCAGGGGCCTGGGGCAGGGTGGACTGACCGACGGACAGTGGCGTTGCTGGCAGAGACCCAAGATGATGAATGAAGCAGAATTGAGGCCTTGGCAGGGGGCTCCAGAGTTTGGAGTAGCCAGACAGGCCTTCAGACTGGCTGTGGATAGACAGGAAGAGGTGACACCTTGGAGGGGTGGAGGACAAGGGATTTTGGAGTTAGAGCACCCAGAACTCATGGTCCCCAGCGGGGGTGAACTGTGGTAGGGGCCAGATACAGAGGCAGGAGACGTGTTCAGGACACAGAAGGGGAGGAAGGCGGTCAGTGACGAGTCAACGAGTGGGCCCAAAAACAGACTCAGCGCCGCGCAGCCTCAAGCAGCTGCTCAGGACCAGGAGCCAGGGCTGGGGGCAAGGGACATCCCTCTCTGTGCTTGGGTTCCTGGGCAGCTGAAAGAGGAGCGTGGAACTGTCTTAAAAGGAACTTGTGCAGACCCCCAGCTCAGCCTTCAGGTGCAGATCCCACAGGTATGTGTGGGGGGTGCAGGGTTAGTTTTTAAAGCCTCGGTCCAGGGGTTGTGCAGTGAGCCAGGTCAGCCCGCATTAGCGGGCCAGGTAGGAACCAAAGAAACGGCCCTGCAGCTTTGCCTGGGGTCTGCAGAGAGACCCCAGTACACCGTCACCTTGCATTCATTCACTGACCAAGTATTTATTGAGCACCCGCCAGGTGTCGAGTGCTGGGGACCCTGTAGTTCTGGCCCCCCAGGAGCTTGTGCTCTGATCTTGGACCAGCTCTCAGGCATTGCCCCCTAACCTGAAATCCCTCTGCCCAGCCCCTGAAGGCCCTGCCACTAGGCTGTTCTAAGCTGTGGGGGGCTGAGTGAGAAATCCCCCAGTACCACTCCCCCCACAGGGGAATCTCTGAGCTGGCCGAGGCTGAGCACCGCTCTGTGATCTGTTACCAGGGTCTTCCTGGGACGACCGAGCTGCTGGAGGGATGTGACGGTGGCAGTAGCAGGAGGCAGGGAGGAGGCTGTGGGAATTGGTAGGGCTCTGGGTGATGAGGATGCGGGGACTGTGATCTCTGCTGAGGGCCTGCAGTGTGCCAGACCTTAGGGACATCATGTATGGACCTTATGTCACAGGTGAGCAAACCGGGGCCCAGAGATGGACGTGTCCACCCAGTGAGGTCAGGATCTGAGCGGAGAGCCAGCCCTGGCGCTCTGTGTCCCAACCCTTGGGCGGTGGCACTAGAACAAGATGTGGTTTGGACTCACTGCCCTACACGGGCACTCGGTCAGACAGGAAATGAAGTGAAGCTCAGCGTGGGGGGGTGGGGGGTCTGGCCTCATCAGCAGCTGGTGCTGACTCTGAGCCCTGGAACTACTGTCATTTGTGAGGTGGCCCAGGGAGTCAGCAGGGGTTCCGTCCTGTTGGGGGAGGGGCCTGCAGAGGCCGCAGCCAGGAACCTGAGTAGGAGATGGCTCTGCACCCCAGGGCCGGGCTGAGCCTCCTCCTCTGCCTTGTCCTGGCAGTGGCACTCCACGCCCTGCCGCCGAGGTAACTCCCAGGAGCAACAGGGCCTGCCCTGGAAGGTGGTGGTGGGGCAGTGCCATGAGGAAAGGCTGGTGTGATCATCCTGGGCTGTCCCCTGCTTCAAAGGGAGGCGATAGTGGTCTTCAGGGCCAGCACTGAGCACCCCAACATCTCCCACAGACCTCAGCGATCAGTGTCCGAGGACTCTGCAGCCCCCCTGGAGCTCCCACAGCCGCTGTCTGGCCTGCTGGACGGTAGTGTCTCCTCCCTCCCCTCCCTCGCCCCCACCACCCTGGGGGGGACATGCCCTAGGGAGGGCACCCAGGTGCAGCCTCAGGGCCTTCTTGTCCCGAACGGCATCTGTTCAGGGGTGACTGTAGCAGATTCCAAGCCAGATTCTCCCTCCCAAACACACCCTCTTCTCTTTCTCCAGACTATGGGATCCGACCCAAGCACCCCTTGTCGAGAGGTCCTCGGCCCCTCCTCTCCCAGGCCCAGCAGCGCAAGCGGGAGGACCCAGACATGGCTGAGTATTACTACGACACGCTCCTGTGACGGGAACCCCTTATAAAGCTATTCTGTGCAGCAAAGCCTGGGGCTTTCGGAGGATGGAAATGAGCTGGCCGCGGGCAGGGTCCAGGTAGATACACCACTGCACTCCAGACAGGAAATGGCACTTTAATAGTTGTGGCCAGGGTGACAGGACCAAGATGGGGCTAGAGCCGAAGCAGCCGAGGGGCTGGGCTGGCCTGGCCCGGGCCAGTCGGGATGCCCCCTTTTTCTGCCGGAGTGGGGCCCCACTGTGCGCGCTCTCCTTCCTCGAGGGGCCCGCACCTGCCAGGGGCCAGCATGCCAGTGAGGTTGGTGGTGGAGCCATCCAGAGGCCACTCTGGGAACAGGGACCACACCGCCACCTACTGCCGTTTCCTTACTGGAAAGTCCTCGGGAGGGGGCTGGGCTCGGCCTGAGCTCAGGGCCTTTGCTCGGGGCTGGGAGCTGAGGGCAGGGTGGGCACTCTCAGGTGACAGGGGCTTCCTCACGGCAGAAACCAGTGGCCAGGGAGCCCGAGGCCCCGGCAGGGGAAGGGAGTCCCAGAATAGGACAGAACCCAACGCTCCTGCGACGGGCCCCTTTCCCACCAGTGGCCAGACCTGCCCTGCCCACAGTTCCCGGGCAGCCCACTCCGTCCTCCGTAGATGAATCTAATATTACAATAAACTGCATTTGCCTCTCCCCACAACCCCCACCCTCCCACCCCTGGCCAACGGCCTCCACTTCCCCGTCCTCCGGTGGCGGCGGGTGCCCTTCCTCAGGCCGTGCCACGTCCTGTCGGCAGCCAGCTGTGCTGGTGCTGGCCTGAAGGCCCAGGGGGTGCGGAGGGCAGGGCAGCATTGCTACTCCAGGTAGATATCTTCCGTAGGGCAGGTGTACTCCACAAACTGCTTGTAGAACTGCTGGAATGCTCTCCTAGGGGCAGGCAGACACACACGCTGACTGGGGTGGGGGAGTGGGAACATAACTGGAGTTTTCAAACTGGAGCCTCGGGGTCCCTGGGGGCGGGAGGGCTCCAGACCCTGAGCTGCAGCAGCTCAGCTCCGTCCTCCACAAACTGTTTCCCGAGTTAGACTGCAGTTCAAGAAAGGGCCCGACACCAGAGCGCGCAGCAGCCGCTCCTCCAGCCCAGCCGCTGCACAGGGGCCTAGAGGTGGCGTACAGAGCCGGGGAGGATGGAAGCCTCTGAGCTTGGGGACTGACGCTGAGCTTGGGGACTGTGCTTGGGGGCCTGGGGCTGGGGCTGGCGGGTGCGCCTGGCGCTCGGTGGGACACACGCATACGTACCCCACAGATTCTGCCAAGGCTTTGGTGGATTCTTCGGACACAAAGACGTGGCAGGCAAACCGGTGGTCGGCGGGGTGCTTAGTGATGAACCCAAAGTACCTGTGGGAGGACCGCAGTCCGTCTGGGGGTGGGATGGGTCTCAGACCCCTCTAGGTACATGCATGTGCCCTGCCCCCCACTGCCTGCCCAGCCAGGATGGCTGCACCCCGCCCCGCCCACACCTGGACCTCTGCTCCGGCCCACTTACTTGTTGTTCTTCGGATGGTATCCGCAGAAAGAGATGTTTTTTAACTGGAAAAAGTGGCTACATTTATTCCCCTATAGGAGGAAGAGAGGAAGGTGGTCATTCGCCTGCAGGGGGCAGAGGAGGGAGATTAGGTGGGAGAGCCCAGGGCGGGGGCCAGGGCGCTCACCTGGGCCTCCTGGGAGTCATCGGCCTTGACGCCTATCTTCACGCCCCTCACGCTGATCTCTAGGACGCAGCTGGAAGGCGGGTTAAAGTGCACGGTGAGCCGGCGGGTGGTGGCGATCTGCGGGTGAGGGATAGGAACATCAGGTGCGGCGGGGCGTTCCTCTCCCGGGAGAGGCCGGGGACCGGGCTGGGGCTCGTCCCCCACTGCACGGGAGCGGGAAGCAGGTACCTTTTGCATAGCGGCACAGAGGACATCATTGCCTTTGTGGTAGGGGACCTGGACTGAGCCCAGGAACTTCACGCGAAACTGGTCCACCCAGTCGCTGTTTTTGGTCAGGGCTGGAAAGCAAGCCGGAGGTGAAGAGAGGCAGAGCCGGCAGAGGGTGCCACCACCCACGAATGCCCCAGGCTGGCTGGGCCTTGAGGCGACCAATGGTGAAGCTGACCCAAAGCCACCTGGGCGTGGCCCCCTCCCTGGGTGGCTGCAGTCGGGAGCACGGGTTCACCGGCAGCAAGCTGGAGCAGGGAGGACGCGGGGCCTGGCGGCACCATCGGCAGGAAAAGAGAACTACCTGCCATGTGTTCAGGCTCCTTGGTGACCTCGATGGCGTAGTAGGCAGGAAAGACGCCGCGGGCCCCCGTGCGCATGTTGTAGGCCTCGTACCAGTAGTCCTCGGCCTGCAGCTCCACCAGCAGGGGGTCGTCCACTTCCAGCTCGAGTTCGTCTTCATGCCGAGGCACAAACCTGTCCCCAGGAAGGCGTGTGAGGGCTCCACCACAGGGCCTCTCCAGTCAGGCCGTCTGTCTACCCCATGCCCTGCTCTGGGAGCCGCGCCGGCACTGGCATGTTAATAAGCGTTTGAAAAGCGTTAGGCGCGCCTGTCGAAGCCAGCTCCCGGGGCAGACCGAAGTCAGTCAGGTACGCCTGTGCCACGGAGCAACTCGCAGGCCGACGCAGGAGGCGACCAGAGCCACTAACACAAGGGGGAGAGGTGGTGGGAAGCAGGCACTTCCACATGAGGAGAGCGAGGGTGTGGGTTTGGTGAGGGGTCAGGTGTCCTGTCTGCTGGGCGCCCTTCTGGGTTCTGGTCCCAGCTGGCTCGGGCCGGCTGGGGTGCTCACCCCTGTGCGCCGGTGGCGGCATAGCAAAGGCCACAGCGCACTGGACCCTCCCCTCCGCCCCTTACTCCGAGTCTGAGAGGGCGGGCACCGCCCCCTGGGGCGGAGTGGAGGATGAGTCACGTGCCAGCAGTGGCGATGGATTTAGGCCACGCAGGGACGACAGAGGCAGGGCAGGGTGTCCCTGGCCGCTGCCTGGCTGGCTGGCTCGGGCGCTCTTACCTGAATATGGCCCGGTGGGTCTGCTCCTGCTCCTCCCCGTTGATGACACAGGAGAAGAGCCCGAAGGACTCTGCACCTAGGAGTGAAGGGGACTGGCTGCAGGAGGGAGGTCCCACTTCCGGTCGAGGTGGGAGGGGCCGGGGGTGTCACTCAAAGTCCTGGACTAGATGTTTCGGACCCGACGGGTCTGGGGCCTCCTCCCGGGAACGCCCTCATGCCAGCTCTTCCCACCGGGCCCCACGGCTCCGCTGCAGACTCACTGGAGGAGCGAGAGCGGCCACTCATGAAGACGTTCAGGAACTTCTTGGAGAAGTGGACGTCAGGCTCGTCGGGCGTGGAGTCCTCCGAGAGGCAGGCAGAGGGCCGCGGCCGGGGCGCCTCCTCGTATTCTTCCCCGATGGCCGACTCGTAGGGCGAGGAGGCAGAGGCGCAGTTGTCATAGACGGTGGCCGAGTCGCTCTCGTCACTGTAGTCTCCGAAGCATGGCCGCAGGCTCACCAGCTCCAGCTGTGCGTGCTCGTCCACCACCAGCGTGTACTTGACCGAGTCATAGGACAGCGCGCTGGTGTCCGAGCTCAGCGAGGCCCGCGGAGGCGGCGGCGGCTCCCCGAGGCTGCCCCGCCACCCTCCACCGGGGGGCCCGGCCCGCTCCGGGGAGGACAGGCAGTCGAAGCCCTCGTCCTCCTCACTGATGGAGGGGTGCGGCCGGCCTGCCGAGGAGGGGTAGGCGGCAGGGTCTGGATCGGAGCTGACCGACATCCGGCTCTCGGCTGGTGGCAAGAAGGCTGAGGTGGGCTCCCCGGGGTCTGGGGGCCTCTGCACCGGCGTCAGGTAGATCTCCTCGGTGGCCTCCAGCCGCACGTCCGCCTGGTAGTGGATGCGGTCTCGATGCGAGTGGCCCCGGCCACCAGGCGGGGCAGCCTGAGGGCCGCCGGGAGGAGCCATCTGGGTGGCAGCGCTGCGGCGGCAAGGGCTCTCCGTGGAGGTGCCTCGGTCCGTGGTGGGGGCAGGGCTGCTCTGCGGCGGCAGCTCATCACTCAGGCAGATGTGTTCATGTGGAGGCGTCTGCTCCCCTGGAGAGCGGGCAGGTCGGCGCTGCAGGCAGGTGCCCCCACCCTTGACCCCCGGGCCACTGCCCCCTCCACTCAGCCATAGGCCCTGGTGGCTCTGGGGCCCCCTCCCTCGTGCCGCAGTCACCTCAGGTGGGCTTACTCGCAAGCTGGAGGCTACTAAGGCTGGCTCTCTTCAGTGGGACTGGGCCGGGCGGGTGGGAGTCTGGAAAAGGTGCTGACTTACCTGTCTTCAGGGGTGAGGACGATCGAGACACCCGGTCCTGCCAACTGTGCTTCTTGCCCAGAGAATTATTGTTCAGCGTGTCCTGTGCAGAGAACAAAAGGCTCTTGTGACAGAGTTGGTCAACAGTGCCCGGCACAGGGAGGCCCTGGCCCTGCCCCCATCAGGCCGTCCTTAGGACATTTGCTGTGCCCCGCCCCCCACTTCTTGTCCAGGGCTCACAGCCCTGGATCCCCTCTGGGGCAGGCAGGATGGGTGACAGATCCCAGCCCTCCCTGCCAGGCCTCCTTGCTCTAGCCAGCCCTTCCTCCTGGCTCAGGGAGGCTGGCCAAGCCGTAGGGATGTGGTCTTGTCAGCCTCCACAAGGGTGGCAATGGCCAGTGTGTGTCATGGTGCGTGGGGAAGGAGGTGGGGGGAGAAGCAGGAGCCAATGGGGCTGGAGCCGGACCCCCAGACCCAGGCACTGAGAGTAACATGAAGATGCTCCCTTCTAGCCCAAGTCCCCTGAAGCTCAGGAAGCTTCAGGGCAGGGGCAGGGGCAGGGGCAGGGGCAGTCCTTGGAATGAGAAAAAGGCACAGGAAGGGTCTCCCAGCAGCCAGCCTGGGGACTGGGATGAATCATCCAAATGATAAATCCATAAGACCATTCAGTCATGCCCCGGGGAGTACATGACTGGGGAATGACAGATGTGGTCGCCAGAGGCCCTTCTTCCTGGACCCCCTGGACTGCCCCTGCCACGTCCTCAGCCCCCTGGGCCCCTCTCCACGCTGCCGGGTACAAGGCTCCCTACACACAGCTTGGGCCCCCCTCCGTGGGAACATCCTCAGGGGCCCTCACATTCATGAATCTGGCTGCCAAAATCGACCCCTGAGGATCCTGGGAAAGGAACTAATCCCTTCCCAGCGGCCCCTGCACCCTCCACCAACAGCCCGGCCTCCCTGGGCCCCTCTGCACCTCTCCTGACTGGGTTTGGAAGACAAAGGGCCACAGCCACTCTCCCCCACCCTATTCAACCCTCCTTGGCATCCAGCCACCCAGCCAGGGGGCCCCAGGCCCCCAACTCAGCCAAGCGGCTCCACCTCCCATTTCTCTTGCCTGCCTTCTGGGAATTCCCAGCTGCCCACATTTCAAATCGGCTGCTGCCTCTGAGCTCCCCATCCCCAACTTTTCACAACTTCCCACGGCCTCCCACCACACCGACCCCTTCCAGTGAAGCCCTTTCTCCAGGCCTTGCTTCTTGTTCTCCTCACCAGGAACCCCACACCCTAAAGAGGAAACCCTTCCACAGCTGGCCTCAAGATCCGAACTCTTGCAACCCCTCAAAACCCTATTCTCTCAATACCCCACTTATCTTTGCGCAGATCCCTCCGCTGTCCCTCTCAGCCCCTCCCCTTACGACCGATCCTACCCACCTCCCAGACCACCCTCCCCCAGGGACCTCCCCTTTGGGAAGCCTCGGGCGGTCTCAGCAGGCCAGCTACTTCTCCCAGCGCCAGACCCGCAAGTTCGCCCACGGCACCCTGCGCTGTCACCTCCCGGGCCCGACCCCAGGCCCAGGGTGCCACCCTTCAGCCCCGCCCCACACCGCTCGTGCCTTACCTGAGACCGTGGCACCTGCGGGAAGAGGTTGAGCGTGGTGGGCCGCTTGGGCCGGTACGTGTCCCCGCCGCCCTGGCCCTGGCCGCGGAGCACCGGCTCCTGGCGAGCCCCGGCCTCTGGCGGTCCGGCTCCTGGTCGCCGCGCCGCTCGCTCCTCCTCGTCGTCCTCCTCGTCGTCCTCAGCGCCGGGAGTGTCCCCCGCTGCGTCGATCAGGTCCATCTGCAGCATCTCGGCCTGCAGCCGACTCCCGGCGCAGCCGCCGCCCCCAGCCAGGAGCCCTGCACGCGGGGGCTGCGGGGCGCGGACAGACCGGAGTCAGGGGGCGGGGCCACGCGGAGGCAGGGGCAGGACCGAGGCCGCCACACACCGCCCCCCAGCGCACCGCCCCCCAGCGCACCGCCCCCCAGCCCAGGCGAATCCATTCCGCAGCCGCAAAGGGGTGGGGAGAGAGAAGCGGGACAGGGGCCAGCTGCTGCGAGAATGCGCGATGCTGCCCTCCCCACTCCAGTCGGTGCCTCGGGCAGACCACACCTCTTCCCACCTCACGTTCCCCGCTTCCTGACTCTTTGCACCCTCCCGTTCCCTTGACAACAGCTTGAACAGTCCACACCCCTCCCCTCCTCATGGTCCTTTGCTTTCTGACTCTGTGCACCTCCCGTTTCCTTGGCAACGGCGGGTGACCTCACCGGGGGTTGTAAGCGGAGCCCGGAGTGAGGTCACTGCTGTTGCCATGGGGACAGAGGGTCGCCAAGGTGTTCGCGCTCCACAGGGGATGGGGTGGGGGTTAGTATCGGAAAAGCGCAGTGAGGGAAACTGGGAAAACGGGCAGTCCAGGGGAGGGATTGTGGGTGGGCTGCAGCGCGGGCAGGAGGACCTGAGCTCCGGCAGGAAGAGGGATACTGAAGAAGAGGGGCAAATGGGGCACCTGCGCAGGCAGTGGCACCCCCCACCTCCCGCCCACAGGCCTTGGCCCCCCCAACCTGAGACTCTCGCTCAGGCCAGCCCAACCTTGAGAGTTCTCAGCCCTGCTCTAGCTCCAGCCTGCCACGGCCTCCCTGGCACCTCGGACAGATCTCCTGACCCACGAGCTCCCTCAGCAGTTAGCTGAGGTGAGGACTCAATGGCCAGAGTGAGTGACACCCCCCGGAGCTTGCTTAAGGCCCCACAAGGTACATAACACCTCGGGGCCTCAGGGTCCTAGCTGGTGGCAAGACCACCCTCTTCAAGGCTCTGCCTGCACTTGCTGGGGGGGGAGGACAGTCGGGGAAGAGGAACAGGTATATGACGTCAGAGAAGCTATGTCCAGGCCCTGGGACCATTCCCCAAGTTCTCTGCTTCCATCCCTTCCTAGCCTGGCCAGAGGATGGAGGGTTGGGGTACAAGGAGCTGGAGGGTTATTCTTCCCCCAACCGGCCCTCAGTTTCTTTTTGCCTGGCAGAGCTCACAGCATATCTGGGGGCAAGAGGAGACCATAACACACAGACAGGTAATGTGCACCCCAACTCACTCCTTTGCTAACCACCCTCCTCACACCATGTCTACTTCGGCCAGCCACCCTCCTGAGGGCCGAGAAGCTCTGGGCTCTGCACCCTAGCCCCATGCTTTGACTGCCACTTCCTGACTCCTTTTTACTCTTCTGAAGAGACACAGGGGATCTCTCTCTGCCCCACGCTCCCCAGATGCTGAGGACCTCCTGGCAGGATTCGGAACTTTCTGGACTAGAGAAAGCCATCTGTCCTATGAGAAAGCCATGGGGTCAAAAGCAGCAGCAAGGCTGGGTTAACCCTCCAAAGGGGCCTTTAGGCCTGTGGGTCAGGGAGGGTCTGTGAGGTCCAGTGGCGTGGCTTGGTGCAGCGGCCGCAGAGGGAGTGCCTCCTGTCCGCGCTCCTGCCCCAGAGCACTGCAGATCCCGCCAGACTCCGCCCGCTCTGCCCCAGCCTCTCTGCCAAGGCCACTCCCTGAAGGACTTAGGGTAGTCCTGAGCCTTCCCTTCGAGCCCTCCCTTCGCTAATGCCCTAAGTGCTACTGTCCAGGACCTGAACACCGCCTGCCCTCTCTCTTCCTGTGGACAGTTGAAGGAGCTGCCTCCTGCCTTAACTCAGGGCAAGAAAAAAGGAAAAAGAAACTGATTGAGGCCCAAGGTGTGCCAAGAGCCTTACTGGACGTTTCCTGCGTGCTGCTTCATTTAAGGAGGGTGCTGTACAGGCCCTGAGCCCCCTGCGTGGATCGGGAGGGTGCCCTCAACCCTGTCCCTGCCCATCCTGCACCCCCTCGGGCTCTGGGAGCCCACCCTTACCCGTAAGGACAGGGTGTCTTTGCACTGCAGGCTGATGCCACACTCATCGGTGATCTCTGAGAGGTCTTCATCCTCAAACTCCTCCAGGCTGATGTCATGGGTGAGCCTGGTGGGGACAGGAAGCTGCAGTTACAACACAGGGGGACTGCTCAGCCCACTGCTGTCTCCCTGATGCATCTTCCAGGAGGCAGCCCCTCGAAGGCAGACCACAGCCCCCAGGGGGTCCCCCCAGAGGACGGGACTTGGAGTCCGCCTGTGCCAGTGCACGGGGTATCTAACAAGCAGGGAAAGTTTGGGGCTCATGCCAAAAGGCAGTCCTCCTGGGGGGGGGCAGTGGAAGGGGAGGCTCCCCGTCACTCCCGCTCCCCCCTGTTGTCCTCCTTGTTGCCAAACAAGAGGCAGTGCCTGGAAGGCCCAGCTGGTCAGAGCCTCAGTTCTGCCAGAGAAAGGCCTCCCAGGGTCAAGGCAGGTGCCAAGGCCAGTTCATCCATGGAGAATGAGAAGACTCCCCAGGACGCCTGGATCTGGGGGCTCTCTGTCCAATCCCTGCAGCAACAAACCCACGGCACTGAGAGGCCACTCCCCAGCCCCAGAGATGTGCTGGTCCCCCCAGCCCAGGAAGTCCCTAGCTGCTTGAGCCACAGAGCAATGAGGGGCACCTGGGGTCAGTGCGGGTGGTCACAGCCCACTCCAGCACAGACCAGGCCCCCACTCTGTGCTCTTGGTCTCATCTCTCCAACCACAGAGCTGCCTTGCCGGATAGGGACCCTGGACAGCAGGCTGCACAGATGGGGCCCTGCACAGGAAGGCCCTGGTGGGGGCTGGAGGAGCTGGGAACTCAGGAGGCAGACCAGAGCAGCTCAGCGCCAGAGCGCTGACTGGCTGTAAGGGGCCCCCTCCCCACAGGCCAGCCCCGAGCCCCAGCCCCACTGTGGCGCCTGCCCTCCCCCAGCCCTAGGCTCCACCTGGTTTGGTGTACGTGGGACATTTGGGAGAATTCTGTGGGGGAAGTTGGGGAGAGCCCTGAGCCTTTTCCCATGATACCAAGAGATTCAGGCTTAGCGCAAGAGACCCACAGTCCAAGGTCACCGAGGAGAGGTGGCAGCCCAGCCCCCAGGGGAGCCCAGGAGGCCCACACCCTCCACTCCTACCTCAGTCAGACTCAGAGAGCAGGAGCTCCATGGAGCTGCCCCCAAGCTTCCCCCTTCCCCACCAGCCCCCGCACCCCTACCAGCGCTCCCACTGATCCTCCAACCAGCTGTCATTGTCTGGGCTTGAATCCATCTTCAGGACGAGCTGCATGGAGAGCCCTGCCCGGCCGGGGGGCTTCCGGGCCCCAGGGCCGCCCGCTCATGCCCAGAAGGGTGGGGGGGCCAGGGCTCAAGGCAGGGCTGGGGCCACAGGCCTCCGCCGCCTGGGCCTGCCTTTCTGCGTCCTGCCTGCTGCAGAAGCCTGGGGAGCTCATTAAAAATACATGGGCCGGGAGACGAGGCAGCAGCTGCCTGCCGACCCGGGCCCCAGCCCCAGCTCCTCCCGGCCCAGCCCTCAGCTGCAGGCAGCCTCCTCCCCCCGGTCCGGCCCGTTGCGCTGATGCCGCTGTCACTGCCACCTCCCCGGTGGGATCAGGTTACTGCAATCAATGCTACCAGCTCCACCTGCCCTTCCAATGCCCCTGTCGGGGGCTGGGGCGGCCCCCCCTCCCTGGCCCAGGCTTGTAAGCAGATAGCAGAAATCTGGGCTGTTTTCCCCCAAAAGCCAGCCCTTGATCTGCTTTAAAGGGCCAGCACCACACTCAGGGTCCCTGATGACCAGATGGGGGTGGGAGTGGAAGCTCTGGAATTCTCCATGAATGGACGGCCCACAGCTACACGCTCAGCCCCACACCTCGTGGGGGAGGCTTCCGTGGGCCCAGGCAGTGCGCAGTCGGAGCTGCGGGGTGGGTGTGAGCTGCTCCATTGCCCACCTGGTGCAGGACAGAACCTCAGCCCCTCCCTAGGGCTCCATCCTACAGCACCTAGGAAGTGTCTGCGGGCACAGGGGGCCCCACAGCCAGGGAAGGGCACCTGGACCCTCATCACAGGTCTGGGTGGCCTAGAAGCCAATGAGCTGCCTGTAACACAGGCAGAAGCTGGAAGGGCCCTGGAGGAAGGGCAGGGAGGGACTCTCAGCAGAGCAAGGGGGTGGATTGGCAGCTGGCCCTTTCAGGCCCTTTAGGACCTGGAGCCCGAGGACGGGGAAGGTGTGGTGTGGAAGCAGGGTGGGCTGGGGAGGGCAGCCCAGCCCAGCAGCCAGAGCAGCCCTGTCCCTGCTCCGTCTGGCCAGCACAGTGTGGCATCTCTGGCCCCGGGACAAGAACCGAGTGGCTGGCACTAAATTAACGGCAAACATGCTGGCTGGCTGGGCTGTCACCGAGAAGGCGCCCCTAGGTCCCAGCCACAGGACCACTGGGCGTCTGGCCCAGAGATGCCTTCAGGTGCTCCCTGCTCTGCCGGCGACCCCACGCACAAATCCACCTCTGCCCTCCCTCGCCGCCCAGCCCTGGCCCAGCTCCTGCCTCTGCAGCCCTCCCCCAGGCCTGCCTGCCTCAGTCTCCCTGTGCCTGCACCACCGTGCCCCACCAACCACTGCCAGGCAAAGCTGCCTGAAAGACCACCCCTCTGCCCCTGCTCAGGGGTCCCTGCTGGCAGCCAACTGCTTGGCCTGGCATCTGGGCTCTCCAGCTCCCTCGTGTCTCCCGTTCCTGCCTTCCTAGGGTCTAATCCAGAGCTTGGGTGGAGCCTGTGGCAGCCTCTCACCTGTGCTTGCGGGGAGAAGGCTCAGTCAAGCCTGCTTCTCAGAAAGCCCCCCTCGCCACGCCCTGTGCCAGTGCCCTACAGCCCTCCGGGCCACATCACCGGTCCCCTGCCATCCTGCTGCCCGTGGTAGGTCGGCGTCTGCGTGGCCGCAAGGTGGTGTGGTGGAGCAGACAGGGCCGGGGCTCCATCAGATACCCTGACCCAGTACTCAGCAGGTGGTGGACACAGGTCCCCTCCCTCCCAGCAGTGGTCTGGGCTGCACCCCCTACCCCTGGCAGCAGAGCTGGCGAGGCCCTCCTGCACACACTAGGTGCTCAGCACGAGTCTTCTAGGAGTTTGTCAGTGGCAGCGTCAGGGTGCTTCCCAACTGCACCCCCTCGGTATCGCTGAGGTTCCCACCTCCGGGGAGGCAGGTGTGGGGATGCAGGGGCTGCTGCTTCATCCTTTACAGATGAGGGGGCTGCAGTTCCCTGCGCAGTAGGGGACGGCATTGAGCGGGGGCCCAAAAGCCTGCACTTGACCCCCAGCTCCAGCGGGGTGGGTACAAGAGCTCCTTATCTTTCCTTCTTTCTCCAGAGCGAGGCCGGGCGGTGCAAAAGTCACATCAGGCCCGACAGCGAGGCCCCACCCCGGCCGCTCCTCCATGCTCAGCACAACCTCGGCAGAGGGGTCACTTGCTTGTTTTTCCAGATGAGACACTACAGCTCAGGCAGAAGGTGTCGGAGGTCACGGGTTCCCCACATTAAACGGAAGCCCCCCACCCCTGCCCCCACCTCACAGAGCGGAGTGTTTGGGAGGTCTCGACCAAGGATCGGGGATGGAGCCCCCTTTGCAAGCCACCCCTCTGCCCCCCATCCCTACCCCAGCCGTCCCCCGCCCCGTTCCCCTGCTTCTCCAGGCACCGGGTCATCCACAGGACCCTTTTCTCTGTATTTGTGTCACTAACCCTATCAGATGTCCCCACCCCCCTCAGGCCATCACCACACGGCTGGCTGTGTGTTGTGCAGACATGTGCTTTCACTAAACCCTCCCCCTTCTTTCACCCAGGCCCCCCGCTGCACCGACAGCTGTCAGTGTGCTCCACGGGCCCACACCTCTGTTTCCATTTTGTTCGTCAGCTTATCTTGTTCATTAGATTCTACGAGTAAGTGAAATCCTACGGCAACTGTCTTTCTGTGATTGGCTTACTTCACTTACCCAGAAGACCCTCTGTGGAGGGAAAGTTAAACAAGCCCTTGGCTCCTCCAGGCTCGAGGAACGCAGCTATGGGCAGGGAGGGGAGGGGGGAGGAGAGGAAGGGAAGGAGGGAAGTTCCCTCGCCATCCCACCACCCGCCTTCCCCTGACCCCGGAGCTGACTCCCGGGACCCTCTGCGGGCCTCCTTCCCTGGCCCCTAGATCCGTCAGCGCCCCCCTTCCGGGAGGCCACGCCATCAAGCAGCCCTGCGGCCCATTCGGGTGGGACGTTCCCAAGGTCTCACACGTATTCACATCTGGTGGCTCTGTGTCCTGAGCGCAGTCTCTCGAGACTGCCCTGACTTTTGGAGTCTGTCTTTGCATCCTAGGCTCCCTCTTCATGCATTAACCTTCTTGCCCGCTAGTCCAGGGCCCCGTCCTTCCTCCTGGCCCGGCCGGGCCCTCGCTGCGTTCTGCACCCTCCCTGACCTGAGCCGCCCAGTGTGGACACACGGCCTTTTGTGTCTGGATGTTTGTTTCGGGGCCTCGTCTGCAGTCACACCACCCCGTTACTCTCCCTCCACCCACAGCAGCCCTTGCCCTTTCTGACTTGCTGTCTCAGCCCAGCAGTGGGCCGAGGCAGAGCTGCGTGCACAGTGAGGGTGGAGAGGTGCAATGCCAAGGCCCTAGCTGAGCAAGGCCGAATCTGAGCCAGGCGTCTGATTGTCCAGAGGCCACTCTTGTCTTCCTGTGCCTGGCTCTCCTGGAGTGAGGTGGGGATGCCAGCTGAGTGACCTGGGGTCCTGGCCATGGTGCCCCACGGGCCCTCTCGCGACAGAGAGCATCAACGGTCCGAGGGTCCAACCTCTCTCTGCCTCCTGGGTGGTTCTCAGGACGCCTGTGGAGTGGCCGCTCACCTTTGGGCAGGTTCCCGTGTCCCTCTGGCCCCCCTACAGGCCATTCATCCTCCCCTGGGCAACCGGAATCAACATCCGAGAGGCACATCCAGCGCAGGCACCCCTCGCCAGCTAAGGATCCTTGAACAGCTTCCCCTGGCCGGTTGGGAAGGTTGGGAAAGGGGCGGGTATTCTACCTGTGACCGAAGGCTCAGCAGGGCCTCCCCCGCCCCAGCCGGTAGCCGGTTCCCCCTCCCCCCACCACACCCCAGTCTCCACCCCCACACTCTCAGACCCCTGCCCCCGACTCCTGCCCCACCGGCTTGCTCAGCAAAGTCTTCTCTGACCCCCCTGACCAGGCCAGACAACCCTGCTGCTGGCCCACTCGGTCTCCCTGGCTGGGGACTCCAGATCCCTGTAACTTTGCCTTTGGGCCCCACGCACCCTGGTGGGTGCCCCGGTGGGCTCTCCTTCGAGGTGGCTGATCCACAGGGTGGGATCCCATCTCTCTGGCGGAACCCTGGGTGGGGCCTGGCAGGCGCTCAGTAACTGCTGTGGACTGGGTGGGGCACCGAGGTCCCCAGGGCTTCCCAGATTCGCCTCTTGAAAATGTCCAAGTCCGTGCGCCTTCCAGTCCAACTTCCCATGTGCCCCCTACACCAGAGTCTGGGGGAGGGCGTGCGGGCCTCTGGGAAGGTGGGGCTGGCTGAAGGCGTGGGGTGGGCTCAGGTCAGGCGTGGCTCATTCCTCTGGTCTGGACCCCCTTTCCCGACTGTGTCCACACTGGGGTCATCTCCAGGGGAAAAGTGAACCCAACCCCGAGACAAAACCCCAGGGACAGCCCTGCTGGGGTCACCGTGGGCGGGAGCCGTTTGAACTCCTCGGCGCCCACATGCACGCAGCAAGCTCGCTGGGGTCTGGGGGTCGGACTTTTGGGAAACTACCCTGAGGAGACAGTCTCAGGGGTGGGAGACCATGTGCACAGGACTGGACTCCTCGCACCAGCAAACCACTGAAACCGACCCAAGAGCCCTACCAGGGCCCGTTAAACCGCGGCCGCCCAGTGCTTGGGACGGCATGCAGCCCGGTGGGTGGGTGCCGTGAAGTCTGCGCGTCAACGTGGAAAATGGCAGCTAAGACGGTGAGCGAAAGGCCCAATGTGACCGTCCGGTTTCACGCCATGGATCACACACAGGGGGGAACACTACCGCGGACATGGCTGGGGGGCTCTTCTCCTCTGTGTTCCCTGAGGGCGCCCCACTCACCCTGGCACGGACTCCCCCAGTCTAGTCCCAGCACAGGGCCCCAGACCCTGCACACCGCAGGCACCACATAAATGCCCGGAGGAGGAAGTCCCGGTTGCCCACGGCCCCGGGAGCCGTGCGGCAGCGCCACGTGTAGCCCTAGGGCCTGAAGGAGGCAAGGCCCACGGCCAATGCTCCCTGAGACTTTCTGAATGAACACCGGAGTTGGCGCTGCAGAATGCGTAAGCACCCCTAGCGGGGATGCTGCAGTGACCCAATTTATGGGATTCGCTGGGGCCCTAAGTGTCATTGGCCTGGTCCCAACTATCCAGAGACCAACTTTGAGGCTCTGACATCAAAGAACCAGGCTGGAAACCCTGCCTCGGCCACGTCTGGGCCGAGTGAGGCCCATCAGCAGTCCCTGCACTGAGGGTTGGCAGGACCTGGACTGGGATGCTGCCCAGCACTGGGAGGCCTGGGGTGGGGAGGCTCCTCCAGCAGCAACAG